CCTAAAAGTTTTCTCCTTTTCTCCCCACACAATGCTGGCGAAGGGGAGGCTAGACAGCGGAGTAGTTTTCACATTTCATGCTGCTGATACTTCAATTTTTATAGTTTGCCAACATTTCTTCGTCTGTTCTGACTATCCAAGCAAAAATGGAAAACAGGACGACTCCAAAACGGAGAGTTGGGTTGAAATGTTATTGTTTCAGTGATTTTTCGTAACTGCAATTTGTTTTGTGTGTGTGTTTTCATTTTTTCTATCTGTGGAGAGTTTTTCAGTTGTATTGGTGATTGTCTGCAAAGTTTTAATTTTTATCAATTTTTAATACGGGCGCAACTAGAACTGCAGTGGCAGGAAGAGGAAGAAATTGTGCCATTTTGTATTTGCTGTGTGGCAACCAATGCAATACCTGAAGTTTGAATGCGATAGGTACATTTTTGTATTGATAATTTGAATATCAGTGTTTTGAGGGGGGTATAGGTGTCTAAATTCGAAAACTTACTAGAATGTGAACTGAAATACATATTTGTACTACAAAAAAGGGACTTTTCTTCAACATTTTCTTGATTTTATTACCTTTTCCAGCCATTAATATGATGAAGTGCAGAGAGCAATTTTAACAGCTGAGAGTTTTTTCCAAAAATCGTAAAAGTCAGATTATGACAAATAATTTTGAAATAAAGATTTCGTCAGCGTGATTGATTTCAAAAATGATTCTTACAGGCCGATATCACCTTGTCGTCAATGGCGAAGATATTTGAATCTATGTTCTTTCTAAACATTCTGGATTCAACATCTTGGCATGCCTGTGAAGATATTGAATCCGGAATGTTGAGGAGCAAGAAAGGTTCAAATATCTTCGCAACTGGCGACAAGGTGATATCGGCCTGTAAGAGTCACTTTTAATTGTCTTCAATACCGGAAATACCCTTTTTCATTTTCCATGCATCGGGACTAACGACAAGTTAAGAAGTTTGGCTAAATACTCAACTCCTGGTTCATCCAGTTGATACAACCTCAGCATAGATATTTCGTCTGGACCACAAAGGAGTTGGCAAAAAATACCTTGGAAATTTCAAGATATCCTTGCACAATGGCTCCACATTCAATTTTTCCTGACCAAATCAAAACTACATACCAAAAGTGGCCTCTATATCAAATTTAACAATTCTATTCTAAGACCCAATCGCGAATCTATGTCATGGGTGGTTTTGCGAATAATACGCAAAACCACCCATGACAACGAACAGTGACCTCGATATCAAATTTCAGAATTACATCTCCATCCCAACACTCAACAGCACATTTTGGGACATTTTGCACTTTTCGAACGTTCTTAGTGCGCTTCTCCAAAACCAGCCCCTTCTCTCAACATCAGATCTCATCAGTGACGTCCATATTAAATTTCAGGATTTCAGCTCTATGCCTTCACCCAATACCAAATATATAGTACCATTCAGTACTTTTCGTACAATTATAGAACGCATATCAAACAAGTTAAAAAGTATCAGTCGGTATTGCCGCCAGATATATACCCTCAGCCTATGTTCGATTATTTAAATATATTTTGACTAGTGTTAAGATTATTCAAACGTTTGACCCTCTATGGAGCAGGTCCTGAAGGAATGGACCAATATTGCCCATTTCCTATCGGACCCAAAAATATGATAGAAATATTGCGACAGATGTGCCAAGTCCAAATGGAATCGGATTCAATATTTTGTGGGGGAGGTACCAGAAGGAGTGGACCGATGTATTCACCCTTCACACCAGACCATGGGTTAATACAAATATTGGGATGTGTGAAATTTGAAGACAATCGGACTTTTACATCATATTTAATGAGATAGTAATTAGGAGAGGTACTTGATGGAGTAGACCGATATTGTCCATTTTCAAACCTGCCCTAGTACTGACGCAAATTTTAGGATATGCAAAGTTGGAGCAGAATCGGATTATCCATTCACTTTTTGTGCAAAAAATATATTTTTTGAACATTTCGACCTTTTGTGGGGGAGGTACCAGAAGGAGTGACCGATATTGTTCATCTTAAAACCAGACCTTGGGTTAATATAAATATTGGGATGTGTGAAATTTGAAGACAATCGGACTCTTACATCACATTTTATGAGAGTTGTAATTATTCAAAATTTTGACCATTTGTGGGGGAGGTACTTGATGGAGTGGACCGATATTGTCCATTTTCCCACCTGACCTAGCACTGACGCAAATATTAGGATTTGCAAAGTTGGAGCAAATTCGGATTATCCTTTCTCATTCTGTGCAAATATATATTTTTTTGAAAATTTCGACCTTTTGTGGGGGAGGTACCAGAAGGAGTGGACCGATATTGCCCATCTCCGAACTCGATCTAAGTTTGACAAAAATATTACGATGTACCCAATTTGGACCAAATCGGATACTCCCTTCGAGAGTTATCGTGCGCACCAGCCAGACAGACAGACGGACGGACGGACGGACGGACATCGCTAGATCGACTCCAAATGTTCTGAAACGGATTTGGTCCAAAGAGACCTAGGGTCTAAAACCGTTATTTCGACTAGGCACGTTTTGACCGTATCAAATGATATATACCCTCTGTAGCCATATGGCTGAGGGTATAAAAATCACCTCCATATCTTAACCACACACACACCAACCTTGACCTTAATATCAAATTTCAGGATACACTGTACGGTACTAAACAGAAAGAGAAAGGATAGTTTTATTTTGCTCCAACTTTGTAAATCCTAATATTTGCATCAGTGTTAGGTTAGGTGCGAAAAATGACAATAGCGATTCACCGCATCAAGTATCTGCCCCACAAAGGGTTACAATTTTGAAAAATTATAATTCTTATAAAATTGTAAGAGTTGTAAGAGTCCGATTGTCTTAAAATTTCACACATCAAAATAGTTCTATTAACACAACATCTGCTGTGAACATGGGAGATATTGGTGCACTCCTTTGGGTACTTCTCCCACAAAGGGTCAAAATTTTGAATATCCATGAAGTTAACATCCGATTCCATTCAGACTTACTACATCTCAATATTTTTATCACCACATGATATGTTATAAAGATGGTAGAGATTCGGTCATTCCTTCTGGTACCTCCCCCACAAAGGGTCAACGTTTGAATAACCAAAACGATTAAAAAATTCGAAATAAGCATCCGATTCTCTTCATATTTCACACATCACAATATATTTATTAAGCCAAGGTGAGGTGTAAAGATGGAATATTTCCATCTACTTCTTCTGGTACCTTCCCACAAGGGTCAAAATTTTGAATATCCATGAAGCTCATAAAATGCGAAATTAACATTTGATTCCAATCAGACTTGGTACATCTCAATATTTCCATCAACACAAGATGGTTGGGGTCGGACCATTTATTCTGGTACCTCCTCCACAAAGGGTCAAAATTTTGAATAACCAAAACGATTATAAAATCCGAAATAAGCATCCACACAAGATCTGCTGTGAAGATGGAAGGTATCAGTTCACTCCTTTAGGTACCTCCTACACAAAGGGTCAACATTTTCAATATCCATGAAGCACGTAAAATGCGAAATTTACATCTCATTCAGAATTTGTACACCTCAACATTCCCATCAACACAAGATCTGTTATAAAGATGGTAGAGATATGACCATTCATTCTGGTACTTCCCACAAAAAAAGGTTGAAATGTTCAAAAAAATTATTTTAAGGCACAGAAGGCACCTTGTAAATCCTAATATTTGCATCAATGCTAGGTCAGGTGAGAAAGGGCAATATAGGCCCACCGATCCGATAGAGATCGGATAATTTCTTTTGGTACCTCCCCCACCAAGGGTTCAAGATTTTGAAAAACAAAACGCTCAAAGAAAGTAAAATAAGAATCTAACTCTATTCAAATTTCACACATACAAACATTTTTGCTAACGCAAGATCTGTTGTGAAGATTATATATATCTGCGAACCCCTTCTGGTACCTACCCACAAAGGGTCACAATTTTCAATACTTTTGTCTGTCATAACTTGCGAAGCAAGTCAGCGACTTCTTACAACCAAATACTTCTCGCAACCAGAAACCTGTGATGAATATGAAATTAATCCGAATTTATGATTTCGCATGAAATTGTATATAAATGTTCGATTTTTTGCAATTTTGCCCGTGCCAATATTTTTATCTTTATTAGATGAACTATGAAAATGGAATACTGCAGTCGACTATTTCTGGCACCTCACACACATTTTCCAAAAATTATCACATATCTCATATAAAGTGAAGGAAGTAGTCAATATAGTCCAATCCTGGCACGTCGCAGTATTTATATCGTATTTATTTTGGACCGATACGAAATGGACTATATTGGCACATTCATTCGGAACGTACTCCATGGGGGGTGAACAATTTGAATAATCATAACAGAAGACAAAATAGATTTAAATAATCGAATATTGGATGAGGATATACATCTGTCGGCTTAACCGAGTGATACTTTTTAACTTGTTTTAATGAAAATAGAGAGGGAGAGAGTTTTAATGGAAAGAAATAATTCTTGGCTAACTAATAATGAAATTTCATGGAGAACATTTTTTCTAAAATGATGCCTTGTAGGACAATTTTGCATAAACTCACATCATGCTTACTTGTAATATTGTCAAAAACATTATATAACTAACATTTAAGGATTCCACTGGATTTTCCCTGTAATTATTTAAAAATTAAATTGTGTCGCCTAGTGTAATTAACCTAGCAACCTCCCACAGAGGGATTAAGATTGATTATACATATGTTGAAAAGATGATTTACTGTTTGGTATGTATTTTTTTTCGTTTTTATTAAAATGGCGCCCAATTAAAAAGACAAATAAACTTTGAACAATTCGAAGAGCGCATGAAAGAAACAGCGATAGTTGGGGGGATTCGATTATGCGAATATAAATTCTAACCCGAGTTTTTATAAATCAGCTCCAATCTGAACAATTTCAAGCCAACCCAAAAAAACACAATGCATATTTATGAAATAATTTAACAAAAACATGTATTTCACTTAAATTTACATGAAAACCATAAAATCAAGTATTTATGTGCGGTGAAAAAAAAAACAAAATAATGAAATCCCTACAAAATTCCAACATTTAATAATAACCACTACGACGTATATATTTCTTTATAAAACAATACGCCATGATGTTAAAGACCACGGCAATAAAAACCAGGCCCAAACAATCCATCCAATACGTGTCATCCGATGTGCGAAACGAGCCACGCTGTAACACCTCCAGGCCGTTTTTTATGCAGGGATGTTCTTGGTTTTTGGGACAATCTGAAAAAAAAAACACATTTTAAAAATAAAATAATGAAAATGTATAATTGTGGCGAAACCTCACCTATATTATCCACATCAATCCAAAAGTTGTACATCAACGCCTCATTGGAATAGAAAAACAGCGATAGATACTTCAAAAATGGTATCGAATCCACATTATAATACGCTCCACCAAATATCAAAAATACCAAATCAAATGGTGCCGCACATTCCGATGCCATTTTTTCCGACTCAAACAATGTCGACAAAAACAAGCCATACCCCGTGGCAGCCACTGCCGACAGGCTCAATATCAAACCCATTGTCAGAAATAGCATAAAACCCCGTTCATAGTAAATGAAAGCATAGACCACCGAAAAGAAGAAATAACTTTTGAAAAATGCCATGGGTATAAAGGATAACACCACGGCCACATAATATGCCGATAGGCTATAGGTACCCTCGCCCACTTCTCTTCGCAAAATGGGCAAGGCTGCGGGGAAAACATATGTGACACCATACGAAAAGGTGAAAATCATTTCACTACTCAGCATGAAAATCGAACCGCCAATATCCTGTATCGAAGTCTGTGACATGCCTGCAACGCCGGAATACATGATGGCCAGAGTGACGGAGGTGATCTGAAAATGGATTTTTTTTGTGATTTAAAAAATAAATCAGTTGATAAGAGTTAAGTTTTGAAGTGTTACCATAAAAAATCCCGTGGATATAAGTCCTTGTTTCAAATTACGGCGGTCATCGGTAACAAAACGTTTTAACAGCAAATACACCTGTATGGGCCACCAAATCTTTTTGCTGGAAAGCGAATCAAAATACGATTTCAATTAGAAAAAAATTTAATACGATAATTTTTGTCATGGGCTGTAGCACCCATTACGAACTTCAAATACGAAATTTGAAATAATTCGATAAATAATGTCGCTAAAACCATGAAAATACTTAATATCGGGAGGTACCGTTATATAGGGGCTTTACGAAGACGTGGACTTGCATACGCATTTTTCCCATAAGCTGCAGTACCCATTGGTATCTTCCAGTATGAAATTTGAAACGATGCCGGCGAATAATGTTGCTGAAATCATCAAAATACCGAATATCGGGAGGTACCGTTATAGGGGGGCTATAGGAAGACTTGGACCGGCATACAAAATTTTTTGTCATAGGCTGTAGTACCCATTACGAACTTCAAATGGGAAATTTTAAATAATTCCGGTAAATAATGTCGCTAAAATCATGAAAACACCGAATATCGGGAGGTACCGTTATATGGGGCTATACGAAAACGTGGACTGACATGTCCCATTTACGAACTTAACCTGCCTACTGCTAAACTATGCATGTGTGCAAAATTTTAGCCTTCTATTTCAATTCGTTTAAAAGATAGCGTGATTACAACAGGCGGACAGACAGACGGACATCACTAAACCGTCTCAGAATTTTACGCTGATCCAGAATATGTATACTTTGCAGGGTCTATTATGAATATTTCTAGGAGTTAGAATCGGAATGACAAAGTTAATATACCCTCCATAGAATGGCAGAGGGTATAAAACAGTATTAAAACTAAAAAATTAAAAAAATCTACTCAACGAGAGATGAATACGCTCAAACTATGTCGGTTTATTTGAATATACTCTGAACTGTTAGAATTATTCAAAATATTCACTGAGAAAATTGGCATAATAATGAAATGCATTGCGTTAGTAATTGGTGTTCTCTGGAATGCGTGAATCGATTTTACTTCTGCAAACTTCTTATGAAACGTAACGTCAATACGAAGGTTTTTATGTATAACGCTTTTCAATTCATATACATTGGTTCACATATATTTTAATAAAAACTTCATTCATTTTAAAAATACTTCAGTAAGTAAGAGACTGATTGATTTAACACCTAGGCAAAATGGCTAAAGCTTGAATCTTGAAAATTTGCATGTGGATCCATTTAGGGTGCAGAAGTGATATAAGGCTGGGTTTCTGTAAATTCCAACAGTAAGTGTACTAAAAAGATAGAACGGATAAAGATAGAATTGTAAAATTTGGAATGAGGGTCGCTTGTGTAAGATAGATGTAACAAGCCAACAACACACTTATAAAAGGTACTATGGAGCACCAAATTTAGTACCATTTAGTTTTATGTTTATTTGGGTTGGGCTTAAATCTTGACATTTGGTATAAGAATTAAATTGTTTTAGGTTTATAACAACTGTCCTAAACTAACAAGTGCACGCTACTACGTCTGTGAAAAGTCAATTTTATTATTTTCGATTCGTACCAACAGTTCGTGTTAGAAGTTTTTAGTACTCAAAAAGTACAATTTTTTCAGTTTCGAAAATTTTTTTTTATCAAAACTTCATACATTGTACTAAATTAAAGGTTTTATATATTATTCAAGTTTTTTTCTTTTTCGGAAAGAAAAAATGAAAAATATTTACCTTTAACACCAAAAAGGTCACAACAACTTTCATTTTGGAGTTTACCGAGGAGGATTTTAGTAAGGAAGACCATTGCACAATGGACCCACAATTAAATTTTTTGTCCAAAACTATTCCAACATCTCCATATGTATACACTAGAAACCAACAGTGACCTCGAAAGCAATTTTTTTTTAAATACCAAATTTAGCAACATTTAGAACGCATATCCAAAACAATCTACTTCTCTTCGCCACAGTACGCATTTTCAAAAAAAAAAAATCTCCATATCTGAACCTTAGATACCCACAGGATTTTATCTCTTTCTCTTCAATGAAGCCTAAATTCAGTACCATTTCGTACAATTATAGTAGACATTTTCAAAACCACCTCCACACCCCAATATCAAATATCGGGATACCAGCTCTATCCATTTACCCAACACCCAATTTAGTACCACTTAGTACTTTTCGAACTATTTTAGTACTCATTTTCAAAACCACCTCCATATTTTAACAACTAATACTAACGGTGACATTTATTTCAAACTTCGGGATTCCAGCTCAATCCCTTCAATCAATGCCAACTTAGTATCATTTAGTACTTTTCGTACAATTGCAACACACATTTCCAAAACCACATTGACCGTAACTCTATTCCAGATGCAAACAGTGACCTCATTATCAAATTTGAGTATTCCAGCCCTATCCCTTCACCTTATTCTAAATTTAGTACAATTTAGTCATTTTCGTATAAATATTGGACGCATTTCCAAACCGTTATCCAAATATCAAATTTCAGGATTTTATCTCCATCCCTTTAACAAATGCCAAATTTAGTACCAATTAGTACTTTTCGTACAATTATAGTACATTCATCCAAAACCACATTCATATCTCTATTCCAAGTAACAACGAAGACCTCAATGTCAAATTTGAGAATTCCAGCCCTATTCCTTCATCTAATTCCAAATTTAGTAGCAAATAGCTCTTTTTGAAAAATTTTAGTATGCGTTTTCAAAACAATCTTCATAACTTAACCCTTAATACCAACAGTGAACTTAATGTGAGCATTAATATGTGGTATCAATACCAGATACCAACAGAGACCTCAATATAAAATTTAAGGATACCACCTCTATCAATTTACCTAATACCCAATTTAGTACCACTTAGTACTTTTCTTTCAACTATAGCATGCATTTGCAAAACTCCTCCATATCTTAATCCCAAATACCAATGGAGACCTCAATATCAAATTTGAAAATTCCAGTACCAATGTAATACCAATTAGTACTTTTTGAACAACTATAGTATGCATTTTCAAAACTATCTCCATATCTCAACTTAAAATACCAACAGTGAACTTAATTTCAAATTTCAGGATTTTATCTCAATTCCTTCAACCATTTAGAATTTTTCATACAATTATAACACACATTTTTGAGATCACCTCCATATTTCCAGGTTACACATTAACAGCGAGACTAAAACTAAAATTCAGATTCCAAACAACATCTGTTCACCCAACAACAAATTGTACTATTTAGTAATTTTCGTGCACTTGTAGTACACACTACCACAATCACCTCTTTATCACAAACCTACCACCAACAAAGACCCCAATACAAAATTTCAATTTACATTTTTAGTAAGAATTGCCAAATCCCAGCCTTATCACGCTCCATTTCGTCTGGTCGTTGATTCTAGGTCGTTCAGTTACAAAACAAACTACCCAATTCTAAAAATTTTAAATTGCCAGCTTTTTCCGTTCATCCAAAACGGAATTGTACCAAATACAGTACTATTTAGTCCTCGGGCATTTTTAGTACACATTTCCAAAAACGCCTCCTTACATCAACTAAATTTCCAGGAATTATTTCTTTCAAAATTTTACACCATTTTACATTATTCCAAATGGTACCAAATTAAGTGCATTTTAGTACTTTTGATACACGTTTTTTTAAGCCCTCTGGTTGGTCTATCCTACACAACATCATAGACTCTCACTTCAAATTTCAGATTTACAGTTCCATTCCTTCCCAAATACGAAAGTTAATACTAAGTATTTAGTACTTTTGGTACTTTTTAGTACGAATTTTCAAATCCCCCGCCATGTATTAACCAAACCGCACAAACGGTGATACTAATGCCACATGTAAGACTTCCAGCTCAATCCCTTGCCCAAATACAAAATTTAGTACCATCTAGTACTTTTCAGTACGTATTTTCAGAATCACCTCCAAATGTCAACTCTACACGCTAACAGTGATCCTAGTACCAAATTTCCATTTACCGGGTGATTTCGAACACATTTCAAATTAAAAGCAAACATTGGCATTCCCTGCTCAAGTTCGACCCTGCCCGGAACCTAACTTCTATTAAGAAAATACTTACAAATTCTTCATGTTGTTTAAATAATCTCCCGTATATGGCTTCGGCAGCAACCAACTGCTATTATAAAGACCCATTGTCTGGAGACTATGTTTGGCCCGGACTATGGCTCCATCCTTGCGATTGGTGTGACTATCCGAAATGGTTTTCAAATAAAAATCGGCAGGATTACAATTGTGTGGTATAGAATAACCCAATCTGAAAGAAATTCAAGAATATTTACAATGAAATATTTTATTAAATGTCAAAAAATTCTCTCCTACTTGGTAAAAAATTCCACAGCATCTTCGGTTCGTCCCTGATACACCAAACGGCCGGCATCCATCAGTACAATATGGGTAAACAACTCAAATATATCCGATGTCGGCTGATGTATGGAACAGATGATTGCCTTTTTGTAACGACCATTGGGACTGTTGTTCAACGCCTTTAGGCTGGGTAAATCTGAATCTAGAATTTCCATTTCAATCGAACTGCCAGGACTGCTCTCTCCACTCGGCGATGAATAGGAATCTTCGCCGTACAACGATGTGAGCGACTTGTTAAGAATTCGATGTCGTGTGCAGAGATGACGCAGTGTCTTGATCACAGTAAAGGCATTATAGCTATCCAGACCGGTGGTTGGCTCATCGCAGAATATAAATGGGGGATCGGTGATTAGCTGGATAGGGGAGAGAAAAATAAAAAATGCAATATAATATAATCTCTCTATAAATGGAAGGGAAGTGAAATAAATGACAGACCTAAAATCAACGCCCAGACGAAACGACTGAAGCTAGGGTCAGTCTTGGTGCTTAGGTGCGTGATAAGGCTGAGTTTTTGGCAATTCGTACTGAAAGGGTACGAAAAGTACTAAAATGTACTAAAAATTGAGTACTTTGTATTGGACAAACGGAATGAGCTAGAATTCTGAAATTTTGAATGAGAAGGAGAGCAGAAACTTTTAGGACATGAACCGTTCTAAAATTGTACTAAACTTCTAATATGGTACCGTTTGGTATTATGTGAACGAATAGAGCTATAAACATGAAATTCAGGTTGAGAATCGCGGTTGGAAAGTAAGTTTTATATATATATAGGTAGTCTTGGAAATGTGTATTAAGTGCGCGAACTGTACTAAATGGTACTTACTTTGGAACAGTTTGCTTTAGGGTGAACATTTGAAGCAGGATTTTGAAATTTTGTATTGGGGTCTCTGTTGGTGATAGGTTTGTGATAAATAGGTGGTTTTGGAAATGAGTACTACAAGTGCACGAAAAGTACTAAATAGTACTATATTTGGTACAATTTGCATTTGGGTGAACATATATTGCCTGAAATTCGGTATTTGGGTCGCTGTTCATGTGTTGCCCGGAAATGTGTACTGTGTTTGTACTGAAAATACTAAGTTGTACTAAATTTGTTATCAGGTGTAGGCATTTTGTATTAGAGTCGCGCTTCATGTATTGCCTGGACATATGGACATGGCTTCGAAAATGTGTACTAGAATTGTACGAAAAGTACTAAGTGATACTATATCGGATATTGGGTGAAGGGCTACAAATAAAATAAAGAAAATTGATATTTAGATTACTAATGGTAGCTGTGTTTGAGATTTGGCAGTGTTTGGAAATGTGTCCTATTTTTGTACCAAAAGTACTAAAAGGTACTAAATTTTGTATTGGGTGAAGGGATGGGGCTGTAATCCTTAAATTTGATATTGAGATTTCTATTGGAATCTGAAAATGAGACATGGAGGTGATTATGGAAATGTGTTCCGTAATTGTACGAAAAGTACAAAATAGTACTAAATTTGGTATTGGGTGTTGGGATAGAAATAAAATTCTGAAATTTGACATTATGATTACTTATGTGTCTAAGATACGAAGGTATTTTTGGAAATGTGAACTACAAGTACACCAAAAGTACTATATAGTACTAAATAGTACTATATTTGGTACAATTTTGTATTGGGTGAACAGATTTAAAATTTAGTATTGAAGTCCCTGTTCATATGTTGTCTAGAAATATGTATGTCTGTATGTGGTTTTGGAACTATAAGTGCACGAAAAGTACTAAGAAGTACTAAATTGGGTATTGAGTAAAGGCATAGAGCTGAAATTCTCAAATTTGACATTGAAATCTCTGTTGGTATCTGGGATTGAGCTATGGGGGAGGGTTTGAAAATGCGTACTATTTTTGTGCGAAAAGTACTAAATGGTACTAAACTCGGTATTGGGTGAAAGGTTGGGACTGGAATCCTCGAATTTAATATTGAGGATTCTCTTGGTATTTAGAATTTTACATGTGTACTATAATTGTTCGAAAAGTACAAGGTGGTACTAAATTCGGTATTGGATGAAGGGGTAAAGCTGGCATCTAGAAATTTGATACTGAAGTCGCTGTTGGTATCTGGGATTAAGATTTGGCGGTCGTTTGGAAATTCGCCCTATATTTGCACGAAAAGTACTAAATGGTACAAAATTTGGTATGGAGTAAAGGGAAAGAGCTGGAATCCTGAAATTTGATATTAAGGTCTTTGTTGGTATCTGGGATTGGGATTGAGATATGGTGCGTGTTTTGGATATGTGTACTATAATTGTACGAAAAGTACTTAATTGAACTAATTTCGTGCAATTTGGTATTGGGTGAACAGATAGTGCCTGAAATTTGGTATTTGGGTCGCTGTTCATGTGTTGCCCGGAAATTTGTACTCTGTTTGTACGGAAAGTACTAAGTTGTACTAAATTTGTTAGTAGGCATAGGGATAGGGCTGAAATCCAAAAATTTGATGCTGAGGTTTCTGTTGGGGTCTGGGATTGGAATGAGAAGGTAGTATACGAAATGTGTAACCTAACTTGGTATTAAGTGAAGGAATAGAGCTAAAATTCTGATATTTGATATTGAGGTCAATGTTGGTTTCTAGGGTTTACATATGGAGATGATGAAATTGCTGTGAACAGAAAAATGGATGAGGGTCCATTGTGCAATGTTTTTACTAAGATCCTCTTTGGTAAACTTCAAAATGAAAGATATTGAAGACTTTTCGGTGTAAAAGGAAAACAATTTCCTGAAAATCTGAACATTTAGTTCCAATTATGAAATTTTGATTAACAATTCTTGCTCGAACTGAACAAATTGTGTATTTTGGGTGCTAAAAAGTCTTAACACGAATTCTTGGAACGAATCAAAATGTTCAGGTGGGTTTTTCGCTGACGAAGTAGCGGACACTCACTAGTATAGATATAGACTAGTAAAAAAGCAGTAAGTTCGGCCAGGCCGAACTTTGAATACCATTTGGAACGAATTAGAAAATTTTCAAAAAATAAAATCTATTAAAAATTCTGTTAAAATCTTTAAAAAATCTAATATCGGAAGATGCCGATATACGATATTGTAGACCTATATAGACAATTACCTTTCAGGGGTTAAAGTGCTCACAAAGAACTCCTTGTGTGGATTTTCAGACATTACCATTGGAAAATATGGCTAAAATCATCAAAATACCGAATCTCGGTGGTACCGTTATACGATATCGTTAACCTATATAGAGAATTCTCTGTGCTAACAAAGAACCTCTTGTGAACAATTTCAGACAATTCCATTGAAAAATATAATATATAGATAATTCTCCTTCAAGGGCTAAAGTACCCACAAGGAACTCCTTGTGTGGATTATCAGACAATTCCGTTGCAAAATTTGGCTAAAGTCATCAAAATACCAAATATGTGGTCTATACGATATCGTGGACCTATATAGATAGTTCTCTTCCGAGGTATAAAGTAGCCACTAGGGACTCCTTGTGTGGAATTTCAGACAATTCCATTGAAAAATGTGGCTAACATCATCAAAATACCGAATATCGGGGGGTACCGTTATATGGGGGCTATACGATATCGTGGACCGATATAGCCCATCTTCGAACTTGACCTGCCTGAAGACAAAAGAGAGATCTGTGCAAAATGTTTGCTTCCTATCTTAATTCGTTTAGACTGTAGCGCGATTCCAACAGACGGACGGACAGGGCTAAATCATCTTAGAATTTTACGCTGATAAGAATATATATACTTTGTTGGGTCTAAAATGATTATTTCGATGAGTTACAAACGGAATGACGAACTTAATATACCCTCCATACTATGTATGGTGGAGGGTATAAAAAGGAGCGCATAGATCTACTCATAGCGGAAGCTCGAACAGAACTTCTAGTAAATTTTATTTTTGTCGAAAATTTGTATTTTTTACTCCAGGAGTTTCATAGCCAAAATAATTTCAATCGTTAACTTAAAATGCGTTTTTCATAGACCCTCCCTTCTAAATATCATTTCATGTCTAAATGGACTTTTTAAGAGCAATCGTATTTCCCCACCATTCCAAAAAAAAGGGTTTTTCCCCTCACTTACCTCCTCGGCCAAACTAAGCCTCTTTCGTTCTCCACCCGACATCTGTTGAATTCGAGTATGAGCGATATTTCTTAAACCCACTGCCAGTAGAAGGTCTTCTACCCGCTGGCGTTTCTCAGCTTTCGAGGTTTTGCGATGCATTTTAAAGTGGGACTATGAAAAAAAGAGAAAGAGAGGAGAGGAATACATCATTGCTACTCTAACCGGAAAAAAATGTGTCTCCCATACAAACCATAAAATACAAATGTTCATAGGCAGTGAAGGTCTGAACATTAATCTCAAATTGTGGTAGGAAACTTGAAATTCGTATCATCTCCGAACGATCCATAACCATGCCATTGACCACCACCTCTCCCGTTAGGTTTCCGCGTAAACGCTGAGATATTGCTGCCAGTAGGGTGGTCTTGCCGGCTCCACTGCAACCCAATATGGCAACCAGGTCGCCGGTTTTCATGTGGCCACTAACTGCAAAGGGAATTGCGGAGAAGATACAAAATTAGGCCAAATTAAAATAATAACAACAATAGATCGACAAACCACAAAGGTCGATTACAACCCAATCCAAACGATTGCCATTTTGTGGCGCTGTTCAATTATCAGCATCGAATCGATCATCTTTAGACGGAAATGTTTTCAGCTCGATTTCAAAGCATAAATAGAACAAGAAGATCAGGCCGACATTACTCCACGTCGCGCAGCAGCTTACTAATGCGACATTTGAGATGTCGTAACATGTAAATATGTGTACACGGTCTGATGCGGTGTGGCGTGGTGTAAATAACTGCCAGCCAGACTGCTGCCTACTACCTGTAATCTAGTCAGACTAACTTAGTCATTTAAACTTTGTTAATTATCTAATGTTAGTTCTACTGGCGATCCCTCCCTTTAGCTTGTCTATCTGCGCCACCTATGACTTGTGGAGAGATTCTATTTGTGTGTCGCCAGAGAAGTGAGAAAAAGACACCCATACACTGAAATAAGTGTTCATGCAACGTTTAACATGCTCGCATTTAAATCAGCCATCAGCTATTGGGGGTATTGATATGTATGACACGAGATGTAAACGTTGATATTCATATTTTTCCGCATGATTTATTTACGCACTTCAGGAGGATCATGTGCAGGGAGAAATATCTAGTGCTAAATTACACTGAGCAACACAAACAATAATTACAGGAACAAAGTAAAAAAGCAGTAAGTTCGGCAATACCCTCCACCATTTGAAACGAATTAGGAAATTTTCAAACAAATAAACTTCAATAAAAATTCTATTAAAATTATACGAATACCGAATATCGGAAGGTGCCGATATTTTGGAGGGATACACGATATTGTAGACCTATATAGACACATCTATGTGTGGGGGTAAAGTACTCACAAAGAACTCCTTGTGTAGAATTTAAGCCAATTCCATTGAAAAATGTGGCTAACATCATTAAAATACCGAAAATCGGGGGTACCGTTAAATGGGGGCTATACAATATCGTGGGCCTATATAGACAATTCTTTTTCAGGGGGTAAAGTACTCACAAGAAACTCCTTGTGTGGAATTTCAAAAAATTCCATTGAAACAAGTTTAAAAGCAGTAAGTTCGAACCGAACTTTGAATACCCTCCACTATTTGGAACAAATTTGGAAATAAAATCCTTAAAAAATTCTGTTAAAAATATAAAAATACCGAATATAGCCGTTATATTGGTGTCTATACGACATGGACTCACACAGGCATTGTTTGTCATGAGTCATTACCAAATTCAACTTCGGAACATGAAATAAACGGTGAATAATGTAGCTAAAATCATTAAAATATCGTATATAGGGTGGTACCGTTATATTGGAGCTGTGCGAAGACCGGGACCAGCATAGACAATTTTTTGTCATAGGCTGTAGCATCCATTACGAACTTCAAATACGACATTTCAAACAATTTCGGTGAGTATTGTACCTAAACTCGTCAAAATACCGAATATAGGGAGGTACTGGTATATGAGGCCTATACGAAGACCTGGACCTGCATAGACAATTTTCTGTCACAGACTGTAGTTTCCATTACGAACTCTAAATGCGTAATTTGAAAAAATTCCGGTGAATAATGACGCTTAAATCACCAAAATGCCGAATATAGGGAGGTACCGTTATATGGGGGCTATATGAAGACGTGGACCTGCACAGACAATTTTCTGTCTTAGGCTGTAGTAACCATTGCGAACTTCAAATACCAAATTTTAAACAATTCCGGTTAATAATGTCGCTAAAATAATCAAAATACCGAATATCGGGAGATACCCTTACATGGGGGCTATATGAAAACGTGGACCTACAAGGCCCATTTACGAACTTAATCTGCCTATTGGCAAAATATATATGTGTGCAAAATTTTAGACTTCTATCTCAATTCGTTCGAAAGATTACAAAGTGATTACAACAGACAGACAGACAGACGGACAGACAGACGGACATGGCTAAATCGTCTTAGAATTTTACGCTGATCAAGAATATATATACTTTGTTGGGTCTGACATCTGTATTTCTAGGAGTTACAAACGGAATGACAAAATTAATATACCCTCTATAGTATGGTGGAGGGTATAAAAAAAGCATAGCCTAAAACCTCGAAACTTTTTTGGGAGTTTGATCTGCAAACGTAGTACTATTTACCCAACCAAAACATAACCCACATATCAAATTTAAGAGCTCTAACGAAAAAAATGTGTCACAGTGTCTTGTACCTTTTAGTACTCCTAGGTTGTATTTGCGAAAACGCATCCTTATACCACGCCTACGCATCAACAGTGACCCACATCCCAAATTTTGAGGTTCCAGCTTTACTAATTCACATTCAATACAATAGTGCTGATCTTAGTACTTTTAATAATCGATGGTTCAAATTCCCATAAATTCTCAGTATGCCAAATTTTATGATTCTAGCTTTGGCGGACCTTGGAAAACACTTCATCGTATAAAAAATTAACTTCTATCTGTAAAAGAACTTTAGGAGATTTTGTTATTGTTGAAGCAATAATTCCTCATGTTTCTTTTCGTCTTCTTCTTCATTATCTAATATCAATGTCATTATAGATTTTTCTTCTTCTACTTCTCTTTTGAATGGCAGCCACAAAACATGTTGCAACTTTGTACCCAAAGTTTGGTGCTTCAGCGTGCCCACCCATGCAACTCACTCGGCTGCGTTGCAGATGCAGACAGGTGAAGTAATTGGCGAAGAAAACCTAGGAGTGCACAATAGCGATACTCAATATTGCCAATGTGCAAAAGAAATAATAGTTCGTTAATACAATTAGACAATATTTGAAATTCTGTAATTCATTTGTAACACTTGCTAACACACCCTACACCATGGCACGCTGTGGTTCAGTGACTTCTTAGTTAGGCCCATAGACCAAGGCCATTAAAAAATGCTGTGTTTGAAATTGTTGTAAGCCCATAGCAAATTGACTAAATATAGAGAAGTTGGAAATAAGTTTGAAGGAGGATTAGTTTCAAAAAAAAAAAAGAAAGATTAGTAAAAATATAATGAAACTCCGCTATGAAAAATATCCTTTCATAAAAGTTCCTTCAAGCTAGTTTACACATCATGAAAGAGTTACTGTAATAGTGTCCATAACAATTTTTAAATGTACACGAGACACTTTAAAGTCACATTACAAACTATTCTGTTGGACTTTCGAATCGAAAACTTCAAAATACAACAATAAGGTGGAACCATTATAAGGGAGATTTACCAACAATCAAATCTTAGTTTTTATTTTTTGAAGGGTTAATCCTCCAAAAAGTGGACTATTTTTAATTAGCAGAAGTAAAGTCAATTACAACTAATTCAGTAAGAAACTGGTACAAAAACCTTCAAAACACCGAAAATCATAAGGTACCGTTATATGGGAGCTATAAAGCATCGAATGTCTGTGATAGATTCCAAAGCTCTATCGTTTCTTTAAAAAATGTGAGGAACACCTAAAAGTATCCTAAAAGGATGTCCTCTGGCGAGTCTTCTGTTTTTAAAGACCAACAGCCCATTAAATAAAATGAGCTCTTCTATGGCGAGAGTATCTTGGATGAGGTATGTTATCTATGACTAAGAAAGACCCATGGCTAAGTAAAACCCTTAAGTGATCATCTGCCCAAATATAAATTATTATATCTATAGAATACCTTTAGAGCCTACAGGGACTTGTAGGGATCCAAATCTTTCAGAGGGTTTCCAATATGTTTAAAATCGGTTGCAGATTATATATTATTAAGATGTTGCATTTCTTCTGTCAATAAAATCTACACATGAAGTCTATAAAAGGCATTCTATCGAAACAACACCTTTCGATGGCTTCTTTCTATGGAAGACTTGAAGAAGGTCTTTTATGAAAAGCTTTTTTTAAGTCTTCTATAAATAGGATAGTTGTGGATTAATAGATATTCTATAAAGAAAAAAGTTCGACAGGGCCGAATTCTAAATACTCTCCACCATTTGGGACAAAAAATTAAGTATGCAAGTCCTCGTCTTCGTATAGCCCCCATATAACTGTTTTCATATTTATTTTTTATAATTTTAGACGAAATTTTCATTTTTTACTTGTTTTAAAACAATTTTCCCCCAGTCGAGTCGTTACAGAAGACTTTTAGAACATTTTCTTCAAAAAGTTGAAAACCCCCGTTATTGTGGAATCGTATCATTCTACAAAATTCTTAGAATACACCAATAATTACCTAAAACTCGAAAATCGGTAAAACTAAAAAACACGTTCTTAGGGGCAAAGTAGCGCTCAATATTTACATATAATACAAAACCTTTACATAAAATATAATCTTAAAAGCGAATAAAGATATACATGGGAGCTATATCAAAATCTGCATCGATATCGATTAAATTTGATAAAGGTATTTCAGAGCTATATTTGATATCTTTCTCTGTGGGGGGCAAAAATTACAAATCGGACGGATATGGGAGCTATATCTAAAATATAACCGATTATCTTAAATTTTAATAGGGTTTGTCCTTGGGCCAAACAAATAATTTGTGCAAAATTTCAAACTCAATCGGGTCAGCAATGCAAATATATTCACGGACAGACGGACGGACGGAGGGACGGACATGCATAAATCGACTCACAATATGATTCTTTGTAGATCTTAAAGGAACTATGGGTATATCTCGCTTCCTTTTCCATGTTGCAAACAAATGCACAAAGACATAATACCCTGTACCACAGTGTGCTGTAGGGTATAAAAAGCACCTACGTTCGGCTAGAGCTAGACTCCACCATTTGGAAGGATCTTGCAAAATGTAAAAAATCATCAAAATACCCAATATCGGATGATAGAGGCTAAACGAAAGCGTGGACTCCAAATATCAATTTTGAGATATTTCTATTGGAAAATGTGGACAATTCGAAAATGCCGAACATCGGAAGGTACAATAATATGGATAGGGACCTTCATAGGTAATTTATTGAAAGTGGTACACATTACGAACTCTAAATACCAAATTTAAAACCATTCCGTCGAAAAATCATCAAATTACCAAATATCGTTATGTACAGTAATATGGGGGCTATATGAAACTGTGCACCCATATATATAATTTTCTCTCAGAGATTAAGTCCATTGAAAATGCCAGAAAAGGCATTCGCGAACTCCAAATATCCATTTTGAGATAATTCCTTTGACAAATGGCTTAGAATATCGGAATGTACCATTATATGGAAGTGGACCTTCATAGGTAATTTGCTAGGAAACTTGAAACAATTCTAGACATAATGGGACATACATTATCAAAATACCGAATATCGAGAGATGAAGTTGTATGAGGACTATACGAAAACTTGGATCTATATGAACAGTTCTATTTAGGTATATTTCCCACATATATACAGGGTATATTAAGTTTTTTATATATATATATATATATATATATATATATATATATATATATATATATATATATATATATATATATATATATATATATATATATATATATATACAAGGTTACATCGTGTTAGAATTTTATGCTGATCAAGAATATATATATATATATATATATATATATTCTTGATCAGCATAAAATTCTAACACGATGTAACCTTGTCCGTCGTTCCTTCTGTCCGTCTGCTGTAATCATTCTAGAGTCGAAACGAATTAAGATAAGAAGCTAAAATTTTTCCACAGATCAGTCTTTGGGCTGCAGGCAGGTCATCTTCGAAGATGGACTATATAGGTCCACGATATCGTATAGCCCCCATACAACGGTACCCCCCGATATTTGATGTTTGATGATTTTACCCATATTTTCCAATGGGATTGTCTGGAAATCCACACAAGAAGTTCCCTCTGAAGATAATTACCACTTGGAAGAGAATTGTCTATATAGGTCCACGATATCGTATATACCCTATGCAGTGGTACGTCCCGATATTCGGTATTTTGCGGATTGTAACGACATTATTCGCCGGAGTTGTTTCAAATTTCGTATTTAGAGTTCGTAATGGAAACTACAGTCTATGACAGAAAATTGTCTATACAGGCCCACGTCTTCGTATATGCCCCATATATCAGTACCTATTCGATATTTTGACGATTTTAGGTATAATATTCACGAAATAATAGGTACTGCAGCCAGTGACAGAAAATTGTCTTTGCAGGTCCAGGTTTTCGTATAGCCCCGATATAACGGTGCCTATATTCCGTATGTAGATGATTCACCCGATTTTTTTGTTTCAAGTTTCGTATTGTAATGGCTCATGACAAAAGTGGCCTATGCAGGTCTAATTCTTCGCATAGACCCCAATATAACAGCTATATTCGGAATTCTTAAGATTTCGTCAAAATTTTTAACGGATTTTATTTTATTTTATTTATTTATTTTTTTTTTTTAATTACCAAATTTGTTACAAATGCTAGCGGGTCCTCAAAGTTCGACCCGATCGAACTTAATTGCTTTTTTACTTGTTTTTCTTTAAATATGGATGAAAGTCTTAAAAGTTTTTCGGGTAAAAAAAAATCTTGAAAAAGTCTCATGTAAAGGAACAGAGCTACAGCAGAATCTATATATAGGGTGAGATAAAAAAATGCAACAAAGCCAACCGACATAATTTTGAAATTTTATTGAGTGGAAGCAAAAAATGTCGGAAATAGCATCAAATTTTAGAATAAGTTTAGATTTGTTCGAATTGGTCACCTTTGGAACGAATAATAGTCTTCAAACGCCTAATGAAACCGTCACACGCTGCCCGAATGTTGCTCTGCGGTATTTTGGCCCATTCCCGGCGAAGCGCTTGCTTGAGGTGATCGACAATTTGGTATTTTTTAGTGCCAACCTTGCTTTCCAAAATACTCCAGACACAATAGTCCAACGGACTGATAACCGGAGAGTTTGGTGGCCATTGTGCACTGGAAATGAAGCGAAGAACCTCATTTTGTAACCATTCTTGGGTGGCGCGTCCAGAGTGCGGTGGTGCTGAGACCTGTTGGAATGTCCAAGGTCTGCGGCCAAAATATTTCCGTGCCTAAGGCGATAATATTCGGAACTTATTCTGATACCACGGTCGATCAACACGAGCGGAGAGCGACCATCGGCTGTTATGGCGGCCCACTCTATCACCATGGCCGGTTTTCTCATCGGAGAAAACCAAATTCGGCAGTTCACCACTTTCGGCCAAGCGAAGCAACTCTTTAGCTCTTTTGAGTCAATTTTCTTTCTGTGGCGGTGTAAGTTCTTGCACTTTTTGGAATTTTAATGGCTTTACCCCGAGCTCATTTTTCAAAATTTGCCAAATGGAATATTGCAATATGTTCAGTTCACGAGCCATTTTTCTGCCACTGCGACGCGGGTTTCGATCAAGTCGCTTCTTTACTTTTCGAACCATTTCTGCTGATGTTGCTGTTTTCTTCCGTCCACATCCTTGACGTCGGGCTACGAATAACTTTTTTCTTTAAAATTCTAACCACTGGAAATTCGCTGGAATAATTTTAATAGCTGTCGGACGAGTGGCTTGGAAATGACAGCTGTCTGAATTTGGTTGCAGTTTTTTCATCTCACCCTGTACTTTGTAGAGTCTATCTCGAGTATTTCGAGGTGTTACAAACGAAATGGCAAGGTTAATATGCCCTCCATAGAATAATGGAGGGTATTAAAATTAAAATTAAACTAAGTGTAAACATGGGATAGAGAGGTGCAATCGTTCTCTTATCTTTCGACTCTCACAGAGAATAAAAATTTAAGTAATCACGAATGTTGTAGAAGAAACTTGTGCCCTAAATCCAGACACGGGACGAAAATGGTCGCCATTAGTACACCTCGTCTACTTCTCCCTTTCCTATGTATAGCCTATTTCTGATAAAATCGATTTCAGGACCACAATGTATTTATGTCCACTTCACCTTTGGAACTCCACTTACCATCATTCAATATCTGCAATTCCCTTTGGGTGCGACATGATTCCCAAAAACTATAGTTATTTTCTTCCTTAGCTGGGACATAATAGTTCAGATGTTTCCACTCCAAACACAGACCGGCAGCAAATGCGGAACCATCAGCGTCTTCCATTGTTATTTCAAAAGTATTTATTTATTCTTTACAGATATTAATTATTATCACTTTTTTTGGTCACACCGAAATTTTTAACCACAAACGAAAACTGAAGAAAAACGTAAACGAAAAAACCTCGCAACAACTGCAAATACGGCTATAAAAGTACAGTCTTATGCGTCGTCGTTAACCATGATTTGTGCCGCGAATGAAATGCATTCCGTTTATGATCCGCGAGTTGAAAAAAAAAACTGATATGATATGATCCAGCGATTATATGACTATGGTGATGCTTCCCGGATGGCATCCGTCATTCGGACCAACAAAAAAAAACTAATTTTGGATTTTATCTTATCTTTTTGAAAAAAATATCCACAGAGATAAGTGTTTAAAAACGTTACTCCCCCACCTGCACGAAAATGGATGGTGGATTAGAAACAATGTTTCAAGGGAAACATTTGTTTAAACGCTTAAGAGATAAGCAATGTTTTATTATTCGATTTAACCACTTTTTAAACTAGTTCATGATGAGCGCTTTTCTGAAGATGAAGAGTTTTTTCTTATTCCTGCACTTGCTTCTTATCCGCCACGCGAACCGTTTTCCATGAATGCTGCTCACTAACTAAACTTAGTCGAGTTCTCATTTAACCAACACGCTTTCGATTAGCTAGTGTTAGACAGCTTTCAATATTGGTTGTCGCAATTTGTCAGCAAAGGGATGGCCAATCATGGGCCCTTCATATGAAATTGCAGAGGTTTTGGGAGAAAATGTATTCTCGAAGGTCTTAAATCTACCTGAAAGTCTACTGGCTTTAGAAGACCTTTAAAAAACTGTCCCTCTATGGATGACGCCGCTCTGCCCCCCTTCTGTCCCGATAGGTTGCTGTCTTTTCAGTATTTAATTGTTGTTGGGGCCACTAGGACTACTCAGGTCGACTTTGTTGGGAGCCAACCCGTGGCTTGTAGAGGTAGAGGCCTAAACTACCGTTGTATCCATGTCCTCGTCCTGGTCAGACAGGGAGCTTTCCCAGAAGTCTGCAGGGATACTGTTCTGACTCAGCCTTAACGGTGCCATATCCGCAATGACCTGGCGGATTGTCTGTTGTGTTTTAATGGACTCAAGAGTCAGATCGTTGTCTCCTCCCAGGCCTCCGTCCGCCCTGATAGTGGTAGCAGACTTCTGAATCGATGTCCGAGTCCGATCGTAAGGTAGTTTTTGTGAAGGTGAAGATCAACTTCGCACTTGTAGCTTTTTTACTAAGGGTGCCAAAGCGTCCACACCAGTATCAGTAGAAAGAGGATCGATTGTTTTTGGAGGGATGGGAATGGGTTTTTTTGCCTTCCATGGCTCATCGTTTTGTAAAGGATCTGAGGTCAACCATGGCATAGCCGAATATTCGTTGAGGCGACCAGGTATCAACGAATCTCAGTTAGAATACAGTCGGTATCAGGACTGTAAACATGTGACACCGATAGTTTCATATTACCTCAGCGTTAGGGGGTTCTCTCTACGTGAGGACCAGCACAGGGATTTGGCTATTTTAGATACGCCGAAACATCGCCTCGTCGGTCGTAGGATCTTTGGCGCTTGGTATTTAGACCTCTCTCTCTGTCTCTCTATTTCAGACCCGCTGATTGTTCGCGACTGCTTATTCAATTCGCAGCTACCCAGTATATCAACTGGGCTTTCCACTGTCCGCAATCTGTGGAAAAGTCCGATAGCAATAAGCTATGCTCACCGAAGCCGAAGCTTTTAAGTTGGTTTGCAGTTGAGTTGTTAAGTTGGTGGTTGGTGTGGTGGGTTATTCCGAGCCATTTTTAATCCCGATTCAAACAAAATCAATAGAATAGAAAATCCTGTGTCAAAGGATCATGAGGATAATTACCTGAAAAGATATCGTTACCCTGCGGCTATTGGTAACATCAAATGCCGGGTCAATTATTTCTTCATCAAAAAATATTGATCCCTTCCTTGCGAAAGCTGAGGAGACCGTGAAAGTGTTATAAGAGGCCTACAATTAGAATAGTGAGTTGAAGCCCCTGTTGGAACAACGAGCCGAAGCCCCCGTTGGAGCAATTAGCTAAAATCCATACCTGTGTTTGTTTCACTTGAGCACCTACCATATGGTCTATCCCAAAGTGGCCTTAGCACCGAGTTGGTTTTGTTTAATTTAAGGATGCTCTGCAACATGAATTCGGCAACTGCTTAACTCAGAGACCTTTGGCCCATTGTGTTCATCCTATGAAGAAATTAAGAATTTGAAGATAGGACAGATATATAGGGTTAAAGAGAGATGTGGAGTCAAGAGGATGGTGTGCTTAGCCAGGAAATGGTTTTGGCAAATTTGTAAATGGTGATGGGATCCATGCCTGAGAAGAACATGTGTCCCACATTGGACATATGCAAAGTAGAGGTATAATCGTCTCTAAATCTTCTTCTACAGTAGTCAGGAATGCTGCCATCCTATCCTTAGATCAGATATCTGACACTGCAGTGGCCAGACAATACGCCCACCAGGATTTTTGTATTAGACCTACTAGGTAATAGAAGGGAGCTTCTTCTCTTCTCAGGATTACGGGCCAGATGACTTTAGGAACCCTGCAACCGGTTTCTAAGTGTCATATTCTCTATGGCCAGGCCTTCCAGAGGAGTTTCATCACCAGCCCAGGCATTCCTATAGCGTTCCATTTTCTTACGCTCCTTTATGTGCTGGCCCCGGTTTACACACCGGTTCAGGATCATAATGAGGCATTTTGTGCACGAAGAGAGACATTTAGTGCAATGTATCTGACAATTTCGTGTAGGGCTGTCTCCACTGATCGACCCTTGACATAGACATGCTGAGATGTACTTATTCGGCCGAATTACCACTGTCGTTTCTATAGTCGTTGTCGACGTTATGTACAAGTCGCCCTCGCCGTCGCTTCGATTCAAAAATGATATTACGGTAAAGTATAGAAGCGACATCGACAGTTTAAAATAAAAGTTGGCAACAACTTACAAAACGTTGGCAACACTCCCTTGTTATTGACAAAAAAGATAAAACTTTGTTTGTGGAATTATATAAATAGTTTCCCGGAGTTAAAATGCCTACCTCTGGAAAAATTTTTGAAAAAATCGAAGAGTTTTTACCACCTGTGTCGGAAATAACTTCAATATTTCCAAATTGTTTTACTGTTGTTATTTTAATGGTCAAATGTCAAACACTAGATGGTTAAAATATCTACGTCGACTAAAAATACAATGTCGTCACAATTTTTGACGGCGACAGATATTCTCTAAAAACGACTTCACGTCGACTGTTGTATCGGCAATGATAATAGCAATCATTCATCGCTATCGACAAAAAACGACAATCCTAATACCGTTATTGTCGCCTAGACTTCCTTTTGCGACGACGATGACAACCGTAATAGGGCCGATTATATTAACATTTAAATTTGAACGAATTTCCCGGTGCAGTAGCCTTTCTAAAGCTTTCATTATATAATAAGAGAGGCTAATCGGTATGTAGTCTTTAGGTAATATGTGACTAGGTTTCCCGGCATTGGGAATATGGATCACCGTTACTTCTTTCCATAGACAACATGGCAGGTATAATGCCATGAGACTTGAAGGTTTGAAAGGTGTTAATCTTCCATACAATTTTGGAGTAGCTTCTTACCCTTCCTATAAGTCTCTCATCTTCCGCTATACAATGCAAGGAGGTTGTTTTTGATTCGTCACTGCTACCAACATCCTTACAACCGGGGCAGTGGGTGCCTGATAAGAAGTCGAGAGTCTGTAGATTAGAGTTAGTCCATCTCGCTACATACTTCCTATGAACTTGGAATCCTTAGACAGTAATTAACGAAATCTGGCAGGATTGTCTTCCCCTCTATTGAAAATTCAAACTTTCTCTCCGATATTGTCACACCTCTCATGCTCCCAATTTCTCTCATGCCACACTATAGCTCTCACCAAAATATTATTGTTGTTATTGTTATTTTTTATGCCCTCCACCATTCTATGGAGGGTATATTAACTTTGTCATTCCATTTGTAACTCCACGAAATATTCATAATAGACCCTACATAGTATATATATTCTGGATCAGCAAAAAATTCTAAGTCGATTTAGCGATTTGCGTCTGTTCGTCGGTCTTTCTGTTGTTATCACGATATCTTTCGAACGAATTGAGATGGAAGGCTAAAATTTTGCATACATGCATAGTTTACCAGTAGGCAGGTTAAGTTCGTAAATGGGTCAGGTCGGTCCACTATTTCGTATAGCCCCCATATAACGGTACCCCCCGATATGCGGTATTTTGATGATTTTAGCGACATTTTTTACCGAAATTGTTTCAAAATAGGTATTTGAAGTTCGCAATGGAAAATACAGCCTATGACAGAAAATGGGTCATGTAGGTCCACGCCTTCGTATAGCCCCCATATAACGGTACCTCCCGATATGCGGTATTTTGATGATTTTAGCGACATTATATACCGACATTGTTTCAAATTTCGTATTTGAAGTTCGTAATGGATACTGCAGCCTATGACAGATAATTGTCTATGGAGTTCCACGTCTTCATATAGCCCTCATATAACGGTACCTCCCAATATTCGGTATTTTGATGATTTTAGCGTTATTATTCACCGGAGTAGTTTAAAATTACGTTTTTAGAGTTCATAATGGGAACTACTGTCTGTGACAGAAAATTGTGTATGCAGGTCCAAGTCTTCTTATAGGCCCCATATATCAGTACCTCCCTATATTTGGTATTTTGACGATTTTAGGTACAATACTCACCGAAATTGTTTGAGATGTTGTATTTGAAGTTCGTAATGGATGCTACAGTCTGTGACAGAAAATTGTTTATGCAGGTCCAGGTCTTCGTATAGCCCCCCTATAACGGTTCCTCCCAATATTCCGTATTGATGATGATTTTAGCTACATTATTCACCGTTTATTTCAAGTTTCGAATTTGCCTATGTAGGTTCACGTCGTAGAGACCCCAATATAACGGCTATATTCGGTATTTTTAAGATTTTCATAGAAATTTTAACGGATTCTATTTTTTGAAAATTTCGAAATTAGTTCCAAATGGTGGAGGGTATTCAAAGTTCAGCTCGGCCGAACTTACTGCTTTTTAACTTGTTTAATATTTATTCCATGTATTTTCTGTTGAATTAAGTTAATGAGAGTCAGTTCAAAAAATTATCGCCAACCACCAATTATGTTTGTCGGGGGACATAAAGCTATTCCCGAACGAGCCTTTTTTCCCCAAAAAGGAGGTTCCAAAAGAGCGTTTTTATTATGATTCAAAGAAGGCAAATTCATTTCAATGCACAAATTCAAACAACGATCCCGGATTGCTGCTGGCACTAATATCGTCCATATCATCTTCCAAATTTTCCACATCCAATGCCCCATCGGAATCTTTGCAGCGTAATTTCAATAACAATTCACGTCGCTTTTTGATGCTATCAACTAATGACATTCTTTTGCGGATTGCACCCGACAGATGGTGGTGTTGTATGTCTTGCAATTTGCGATGTTTTTCCAGACTCTTTCGAAATCGAAAACATTTCTCGTAGATGAATTTTAATAATTTAATAAAATCCCACGATAGATGGCGAACCAAGGAATAAATAAATGCTATGACCGTAATGAAACTTATGCCCAAAAACAATGCCATGGTGCCGCCAAAGGAAACTGAAATGAGAAAAAATGAGAAAGTAATTTTCAAAAAATATCTAATTGCTTTATTACCCAACAAATCCTCAAAACTAAAAACCACATCTCGACGCATTCTCACTTTCGGCGGTATAAGATCCCAACGAAAACTTGATGTTACCACATCGGTTTTGGTCTCGTCCAATGTACTGCCACCCCAGGAACTTTTCTTGGCCGTGTGCAGGGTATATTCCATCTCGATGCAGGTATTTGGACATTTACAGATGTGCAAAGCCCATACAGGCCATTTAAAGTCCAGTAGGCATTCAAAACCGGCCGGATTGCAACTGGTACCCTCTGAGATATAATAGTATCACACATTACAACATTTTTCTAATAATTCGAACTTTTTTTTACCCAGAAATGTATAAAAGAATGGCACACAATTGCACATTTCCACCGCCATGGTAGCCCGACATTTTGCCAAACAAATCGTTTTGCTGTAAATCTAGAAGAGAAATATTTAAAAAGATATTCAAAATAAATATTCAGTTTTAACCGATGTGTATTAGATAAGGAAATTCGCCAAGTTTCGACTTAGAGTGGCGATGCCGGTATGCTGGCCTTTTGCGCGGCTATTGCCCGTCAGATGGATGGTGGTTTCGGAAATTTCGGTTGACAAAATGAAATGAAAATTTCATACCGGTCTTATCATCAAGATAGGGGTTTTAGGGGTATTAAGAGGACTTGCAACATGTCAACAAATTGGAAGGATTACCTTGGCTGAACTCATTTTGTCATCCCATTTTTGTAAAAACTCTTTTCCTAAAAAAAGCGTTTCTCCTAGCGGCTGTCCATCCCTTTGAGAACTCCTCTCATCGTGACACCAATACCAGCTGATGTCCCTTATCTGACCCTTTGCTAATCTTACTTTTAACTCATCCCTACCATCTTTTTAAAGGGCTTTATGTTGAAGACATTCTTTCCAAATTTTTTCAATTTATTGACTAATGTTTTTCTTATTTCCTTCTAGGTTTTCGATGGTTTTAAATGGACGCTTGATCATTTGGCGGTGTCGGCGGTTATTCCCAAAAATTAAGTGCTTGTATATTTGCTGTGGTAGGAGACTAGTTATATTCCGCGATGATATAGACTACAAGTTTTTATACCCTCAGCCACATGGCTACAGAGGGTATATATCTTTTCATACGGCCAAAACGTGCTTAGTCGAAATAGAGGGTGAGATAAAAAAAACTGCAACAAAGTCAAACGCCATAATTTTTATATCCTTTTTTTAATTCTATTGAATGAGAGCAAAAAATGTCGGACATATCATCAAATTTTAGAATAAGTTAAGATTTGTTCGAATTGGTCACCTTTGGCACGAATTATGGCCTTTAAACGGCCAATAAAACCGTCACACGCTGCCCGAATGTTGCTCGGCGGGATTTTGGTCCATTCCCGGAGAAGCGCTTGCTTGGGGTGATCGACACATTGGTATTTTTTAGTGCCAACCTTGCTTTCCAAAATACTCCAGACACAATAGTCCAACAGATTGGTATCCGGAGATTTTGGTGGCCATTGTGCGCTGGAAATGAAGTGAGGAACCTCAATTTATAACCATTCTTGGGTGGCACGTGATTCGACGATGGTGCTGAGTCATGTTGGAATATCCAAGGTCTGCGGCCAAAATGTTTGAGTTCCCAAGGCTTTAGTATACCCTCCAGAATATTTTCGCGATAATATTCGGCATTTATTCTGATGCCACCGTCGATTAATATGTTATGGCGGCCCACACCATCACCATGGCCGGCGCTTGAGTTCTGGTGGCCAACCGAAGATGCACATTCTCAGCTGACCTCTTTGGCAAGTAAACTTTGTTTGTTTACAAACTGCTGGACAACGAATGTTTTCTCATCGAAAAAAACCAAATTCGGCAACTCACCACTTTCGGCCAAGTGAAGCAACTCTTTAGCTCTTTTGAGTCTATTTTCTTTCTGTTGCGGTGTAAGTTCTTGCACTTTTTGGAATTTCAACGACTTTACCCCGAGCTCATTTTTCAATATTTGCCGAATGGAGACATTTTTCGCCATCAAGTCACTTCTTTACTTTTCGAACCATTTCTGCTGATGTTCCTGTTTTCTTCCTTCCACTTCCTTGACGTTGGGCTACGCTACCAGTATCACGGTACCCAGTACCAAGAGACCCTAAGTCTATTTGGACCAAATTCGTTTCAGGACATTTGGAGTCAATTTAGCGATGTCCGTCCTGGTGCGCACGATAACTCTTGAATCCGATTTGGTCCAAACTTGGTACATCGTAATATTTTTGTCAAACTTAGATCGAGTTCGGAGATGGGCAATATCAGTCCACTACTTCTGGTACCATCCCCACAAAGGGCTGAAATTTTCAAAAAAAAAAATATTTTTCTTCTTTCTCACAGAAAGAGAAGCAATAATCCGATTTTGCTCCCCCTTTGCAAATCCTAACATTTGCATCAGTGCTAGGTCAGATACGAAAATGGGCAACATTGGACCACTCCATCAAGTTCCTCCTCAAAGGGTCAAAATTTTGAATAATCAGAACTCTTATAAAATGTGATGTAAGAGTCCGCTTGTCTTTATATTTCACACACCCCAATATTTTATATTTTTTTTTTATAAGATGTGATGTTAAAATGGAGTATATCGGTCAACTCCATCTGGTACCTCCCCCACAAATAGTCGAAATTTCGAATAACAATTAAATAACCATAAAGCGCGAAATTAACATCCGATTTCCTTTAGACTTGGCACATTTTAATATTTGTATGAACATAGGATCTCTCATAAATACGGTAGGTATCGGACCTTTCCTTCTCTCCCACAACATGTTGTATATCCATGACGCACATAAAACACGAAATTGACATCCGATTCCATTCAGACTTGGTAAAACTCAATATTTTTATCCACACAGGACGTGTTATAAAGATGAAAGAGATCGGTCTATTTCTTCTGGTACATCCCCACATGGGGCTCAAGATTAAAACATAACACACAAAGAAAGCGAAACAACAACTCTCAACTCTCAAAATTACCTGCAATTCCGAGGTTTCTTCATCGTGGAATACACATTTTCTCTGCTCTCTGGTCAAATCTCTTAAGTTACCGGATGCTCTGAGAAGAAATAAGAAAATGAGATTAAATTAAATGTTTTGTAAAGAGAGAGAGAGAGAGAGAGAGAAATTTTTGATAAGGTTTATAAATTCTCCAATAAAGCCTTTCAAAACTTTAACTATGAACAATGGATATTCCAAAAGTTGTTTCCCAAATTTCTTCTTCTGATGGAAGCCTTTCAAAAATCCTTCTAAAGGGGAGACTACATAAAATGCTTTTTTGACTGACTTAAGTCATCAGCTGGCTTCTTCGTAGAGGAAAAAAGGAGTTTTAGGTTGCCTTAGTTCGATTTTGGCCCTAAGCTTCTTTATTCCTTTCCGAAGAAGCCAGCCGATAACTTAAGCTAGTCAAAAATGCGTTTTATGTATTCTCACCTTAAAGATTGTCACTTACACCGTTTCCAGAACTTTATATGAAGCAATAATTTCATCCGATTTGTGCAAGGCAATATTGCTAGCATCTGTTGAGGAGATTTCAAATGGGGAATGGACATCAATCTGGAAAAAAATGATTAAATGTTATAAATCTTATAAACACCCTGCTTAAATATTTCCCCACCGTTCCCGTGCTCTCCAGGAGATCAACTTTAATAAAGCACTGCTGTTTACCGAAATGACATTTCAAAGGTTGCTTCAAATCATCGAAGGTTAGAGACTCAGCTTTGGCACTAAAAACAAACGAAATAAAACCCATATATCCTCATTAATATAACCCTCCAGGTTGTACTCACTTCCCCGACAGCACTTCACCCATTGACGAGTTAATGACATAGCACGATCCACGTTCGGTCATCACCGATTTGACGGGCACCTCAAAGTTACCCTCATACGTATTGATGATCTGTTCAAATGGCCTATCGATGGCCTGTATCAATTCATACAAATCGACATCGTCGAAACGACTGTCCTCGGCAAACTTCGCCAAATCCACATAATTGCTGGCGCTAGCATTAACGACGGCATAGAGAAAGTCCATGTAATAGAAATAATCTTCATCCACAATTGAGACATTCCAATTCTCCAAAATGAACTCATTCGCCTTGTACGAATCGATGTGGTCGTAATAGCACAATGTTATTGCAGGCATATAACCGACCCAGTCGCGATAGTTGCGGTCGACAGATATCACAGTTGGGGACTTGAGAAAGCGGGAAATTTGCAAGCGCGATATCCATAGGGCGCCATATATGGAACCAATGAATGTTAGCAGCCAAAAAATCCTGTAAAGGACAAAGAAAGCAAAAAGACCTTGTAAAGTGTCCACTTTACGTATCCGACGAGAGTGAAAATCAGCAAAAATATGTGTTTCCGAATTAATTGATTATTTAAGCTAGAGGTCAATTTTGATTTGGAATTTGTATACCCTACACCACATAGTGGTAAGGGTATTATGTCTTTGTGCCTTTGTTTGTAACATGGAGAAGGAAGCGAGATAGATCCATAGTTTCTTTTGAGGATCTTCATAGAATCACTTTCTGTGTAGATTTATGCATGTCAGTCCGTCTGTCCGTCCGTCAAAGTATTCTTGTAAACAAAATCGGTTCACATTTATTATCCGATTGAGATGAAATTTTCAAACCAATATTTGTTTGGCCCAAGGACAAACCCTGTTGAAATTGGTGATGGATCTGATTTAGATATAGCTCCTATATATGTTCAACCGATTTCGTGTTAATTGTGTACCAAATGTCCAATATAAGTCCAAATGACCTGAATTTTGGCGCATTCAACCGAATTTAATCTAGAAGCAAGTATAGGGTGAGATGAAAAAACTGCAATCAACTTCAGACTGTTGTCACTTCTAAGCCACTCGTCCGACAGCTGTTTAAAAAAAAAGTGACAGCTCATTATATTGTTTAAAAGCGTACAAAAGCATTTTGATGAGAATTTTCCAGAAAAAAAGTTATTCGTGATGGAATTCAAGCGTGAAAGTGTGATTTCTTTATATTTGGCTGGAAAACCACAAGTGGCTATCGTTAGAGCACTCCAGCATTTAAATGTGGATAAATCTCTTGTGTCTCGTACCATCGGTCGTTACAGTGATACTAGAAGCGTGGCCCGACGTCAAGGAAATGGACGGAAGAAAACAGCAACATCAGCAGAAATGGTTCGAAAAGTAAAGAAGCGACTTGATAGAAACCCGGGCGTCGCAATGGCCGAAAAATGGCTCGTGAGCTGAACATATCGCAATATTCCGCTCGGCAAATATTGAAAAATGTGCTCGGGGTAAAACCATTGAAATTCCAAAAAGTGCAAGAACTTACACCACAACGTAAAGAAAATAGACTCGGCTTCGCTTGGCCGAAAGTGGTGAACTGCCGAAATTGGTTTTCTCCGATGAGAAAACATTCGTTGTCCAGCAGTTTGTAAATAAACAAATTGATCGTGTTTTCTTGCCAAAGAGGTCAGCTGAAAATGTGCAACTTTGGTTGGCCAGCAGAACATAAGCGCCGGCCATGGTGATGATGTGGGCCGCCATAACAGCCGATGGTCGCTCTCCGCTCGTATTAATCGACGGTTGCATCAGAATAAATGCCGAATATTATCGCGATAATATTTTGGAGGGCGTATTAAAGCCTTGGGCTCGGAAACATTTTGGCCGCAGACCATGGACATTCCAGCAGGACCCAGCACCATCGCACTCAGTACGCGCCACCCTAGAATGATTACAAAATGAGGTTCCTCGCTTCATTTCCAGCGCACAATGGCCACCAAAATCTCCGGATCTGGAGTATTTTAGAAAGCAACGTTGGCACTAAGAAATACCATAGTGTCGATCACCTCAAGCAAGCGCTTAGCCGGAAATCGGCCAAAATACCGCAGAGAACATTCGGACAGCATGTGACGGTTTTGGCCGTTTGAAGGCCATAATTTGTGCCAAAGGTGACCAATTCGAACAAATCTAAACTTATTCTAAAGTTTGATGCTATTTCCGACATTTTTATACTCTTCACCATAGTATGGAGGGTATATTAAGTTTGTCATTCCGTTTGTAATACACATTTTAGACCCCACAAAGTATGTATATTCTTGATCAGCATAAAATTCTATGTCGATTTACCGATGTCCGTCCGTCTGCCCGTCTGTGGAAATCACTCCAGCTTCCGAACGAATTGAAGTAGATTGATAAAATTTTGCTCAAAGCCCCCATATAACGGTACCTCCCGATATTCGGTATTTTGATGATTTTTGCGACATTATTTACCGGAATTGTTTCAAATTTCGCATTTGAAGTTCGTAATGTATACTACAGCCTATGACAGAAAATTCTCTGTGCAGGTCCACGTCTTCGTGTAGTCCCCTTATAACGGTACCTCCTGGTATTGGGTATTTTGATTATTTTAGCGACATCATTCACCAGCCTTTCTTCAAATCTGTCATTTGAAGTTCGTAATGGATACTACTGCCTATGACAGAAAATTCTCTGTGCAGGTCCACGTTTTATAACCCCCATGGTACCTCCCTTTATTCGGTATTTTGATGGTTTTAGCTACATTATAAACAGATTTTTTTTCAAGTTTCGCATTTGAATATTTTGATGACTTATGACAAAAGTTACCTATGCAGATCCATGTCATCGTATAGACCCTAATATAACAGCAACATTCTTTATTTTTAAGATTTTGGTAGAATTTTTAACAGATTTTATTGTTTTTTAAAACTTGCAAATTCGCTCCATATGGTGGAGGGTATTTAAAGTTCGGCCCGGCCGAACTTACAGCTTTTTTACTTGTTTAAGTTTCGCATTTGAATATTGTAATGGCTTATGACAAAAGTTACCTACGCAGGTCTATGTCGTCGTATAGACCCTAATATAGCAGCTACATTCGGTATTTTTAAGATTTTAATAAAATTTTTAACAGATTTTATTGTTTTTGAAAATTGCCAATTTCGTTCCATATGGTAGAGGGTATAAAAAGTTCGGTGCGGTCGAACTTAGCTGCTTTTTTACTTGTTCTACTATTTTTCTTTCTTCCAATTTCCTATTAGAATGAACACAATGGACCAGCAGGTATCCAAGGCAACCGCGCGTCCTTTAACCTAATCTAACCTAACCTAAGAAGACCCTTGGAAAGAACCTTTTGACAAAGGATCATTCTCCTTTCCTCCCCCACTAAGCACCCAAAAGCTTTATTACCTTTCAAACGTATGCAAACTGCGATTGACCATCAACTTAAATGCCAAGACACCGGTCTCCTCAGCCATGTCTTGTATGAATACAAAAAATCTAGCGTATCCATAATGTGAGGCAGCCTTTACACCATTCCACACAGATTTGGAACAACATTTCAGAACGCCACACAAAATTCTTAAATATTTTACAATCACAAATAACTTTGGGTGTAACATTTCCTGACTAACTCGCGTCGAAATGAAAACGTTCCGATGAAAGCAAAGAAACTGAAATTATTTCAAGACAACAATTTGACTTTTATACCCTTTCAATACTTTATGAAAATATTTATTTATTTGATATCATTTTATGATAACATTTTTATATTCTAATTGATTCTATTGTTTTAGTAGCATATTCAATTCAATTTTTGCTATTATCCTTTTATTTACAAACAATAGGAGCTGCGGCATGTGTGTTGGCCTTAAAGAACAATATGTTTCTAATGGGTGTTAGTGTTTTTTATATGTGTTAGTAATTCCGCTTGTGATGGTAGCTTCCTTTGTTAGTCCTTTTTAGGTGGTCGTCGTGTTAAATAAGGTCTCATTAAGCGAAGCATTACCCAAATCACTTTGTATCAGGAATATAATATACATTGCCAGGGCGTTTATGATCTGAAAAGGGAATGGAATATTTGAATTGATTAAAAATGTATATTATCATGAAAATTATTTCAGAATAGTTTTTGTTCTCAAATTGTGAAAAATCCGCCAGGTAAGAGAAGAAAAAGGATGCAAAAGTGCGTGGAATGGAGTCGTGTTTAAAATCGGGCGACAGAGCCAGTGTAGCCTAATAGAATACATGCCCGAATATACACTAAGATCATGAGTCGAATCTTCCACTATAGCTCGTAATCCTTTCCAGTCGTAATCCAGACAGTGACAAAATAGGTGTTCAATCGTTTCACTTTTGAATCTACATGGTGAGATAAAAAACTGCAACAAAGTCAAACGCCATAATTTTTACATTTTTATACCCTCCACCATATATAGTATGGAGGGTATATTAAGTTCGTCATTCCGTTAGTAACTGATTGAAACGTCAAAACGAATTAAGGTAGGAAGCTAAAATTTTGCACAGATCTGTATTTTGTCTGCAGGCAGGTCAAGTTCGAAGACGGGCTATATTGGTCCACGATATCGTATAGCCCCCTGGCAGGGAATTGTCTAAATAGGTCCCCGATATCATATATCCCCCATATAACGGCACCTCCCGATATTCGGTATTTTGATGATACACAAGGAGTTCTTTAAGAGCACTTTACTCCCTAGCTGAGAATTGTCTATATAGGTCCGATATCGATATCTTATATCCACCTTGTAACGCCACCTCACGATATTCGGTATTTTGATGATTTAAGGCATGAAAATCCACACAAGGAGTTCCTTATGCGTACTTTATCCCCTACAAGAGAATTATTAATATAGGTCCACTATATCGTACATTTCCCATACAATGGTACTCCGTGTGAGTACTTTATCCCCTGAAATTGTCTATATAGGTCCACAGTGTCGTATGTCCCCCATATATCGGCACCTTCCATATTCGGTATTTTTAAGATTTTAACAGAATTTTTTAATGGATTTTATTTTTTTGAAAATTTCCTAATTCCTCCCAAATGGTGGGGGGTATTCAAAGTCCGGCCCATCCGAACTTGCTGCTTATTTACTTGTTTTCTTTTTTAATTTTATTGAATGGAAGCACAAAACGTCGGAAATAGCATCACTTTTTTTAAATTTAGATTTGTTCGAATTGGTCACGAATTATAGCCTTCAAACGGAAACCGAATTTTCGCTGCCCGAATGTTGCTCTGCGGTATTTTGGCCCATTCCCGGCGTAGCATTTGCTTGAGGTCATCGACCCTTTGGTAATATTTTAGTGCCAGCCTTGCTTTCCAAAATACTGCAGACACAATATTCCAACGGATTGATATCCGGAGATTTTGGTGGCCATTATGCGCTGGAAATGAAGCGAGGAACTTCATTTTGTAACCATTCTTGGGTGGTGCGTGCTGAGTGCGATAGTGCTGAGTCCTCTTGGAATGTCCAAGTCTGCGACCAAAATGTTTGGGTGTCCAAGGCTTTAATACACCCTCCAGAATATTTTCGCGATAATATTCTGCATTTATTCTGATGCCACGAGCGGAGAGTGACCATCGGCTGTTATGGCGGCCCACACCACCACCATGGCCTGCGCTTGAGTTCTCGTGGCCAACCGAAGGTGCACAATTTCAGCTGACCTCTTTGGCAGGTAAACAAGATCGTTTTGCTTGTTTACTTTTACTTTAAATCTTTAGCTCTTTTGAGTCTATTTTCTTTCCATTGTGGTGTAAGTTCCTGCACTTTTCGGAATTTTAATGGCTTTACCCCGAGCTTATTGTTCAATATTTGCCTATGGATTATTGCGATATGTTCAGCTCATGAGCCATTTTTCGGGCACTGCGACTCGGGTTTCGATCAAGTTGCTTCTTTACTTTTCGAACCATTTCTGTTGATGTTGCTGTTTTGTTCCACTTCCTTGACGTCCGGCTACGCTACCAGTATCACGGTAACGAGCGATGGTACGAGACTCAAATGCTCACATTTAAATGCTGGACTGTTCTAACGATAGCCACTTGTGATTCTCCAGCCAAATATAAAGAAATCACGCTATCGCGCTTAAATTCCATCACGAATAATTTTTTTCTGGAAAATTCTCAACAAAATTCTTTTGTGCGCCTGTAAACAATATAATGAGCTGTCACTGGAATAATTTTAACAGCTATCGAACGAGTGGCTTAGAAATGACATCAGTCTGAAGTTGTTTGCAGTTTTTTCATGTCACCCTGCAGTATGGAGGGTATATAAAGTTTGTCATTCCGTTTGTAACACCTCGAAAAATACATTTTAGGCCCCACAAAGTATATACATTCTTGATCAGCATAAAATTCTATGTTGGTTTAACAAACGAAGCTTCCGAACGAATTAAAGTAGGTTAATAAAATTTTACTAAAATATGTGTTCCGCCTGCAGAATTTTTGGTATTGAAAATGGGCTATATATACGTTTAGTTATAACCCCCCCATATAACTGTACCTCCCTATATTCGGCCCATGACAAAAAATTGCGTATGCAGGTCCACGTTTTCGTATAGCCCGCATATAACTATAGCTCCCGATACTCGGGATTTTGATGATTTTAGCGACATTATTCACCGGAATTGTTTCAAATTACTTGAGATTCCTAATGAATTCTACAGTATATGACAGAAATTTACGTATGAAAGTCCAGGTCTTCGTATAGCCCCCCATATAACGGACGGTATTCACCGGAATATTTTCATGTTTCCTATTTAAATATAGTAATAGCCTATGACAAAAATTGCATAAAGAGAACCATGTAATTTTAATATCTTAGCAGAATTTCTCAAGGTTTTTTTTTTTTGAAAATTTGCATTTTCTTCCATACTTACCCCCAAAAGGAACATCAAATCCAAATCTACAATTCCACAAGCGGTCTCCGTGTGATTTCGCACCATAATTTGTAGCAGAAATTTGCTGATGTCATTTTCTGATTCAAAGATTTCCAAGGGCGTGCCATTCAGAATGTAAAGAGTTTGACATTTCTAAAAATAAAATGAATATATATATATATATATATATATATATATATATATATACTAGCTGGCCCGGTCCGCGTTGCCGGCCCGTAATTTTAGTCTTTAATGCTTATTATATCCCCCACCTTGGAAAGGAGGGTATATTAACTTTTTCATTCCGTTTGTAACATCCCTAAATGTTCGTCATAGACTCCGTCTGTATGTCTGTTTATTTAAATTACGATACAGCCCACATTATTTGACGTAGAGCTTCAAAATTTAGCAGAACAATTTGTACTGTGTATAGGATGGTTGGTATTGAAAATGGGTTCTATCGGTCCACGTTTTGGTATAGTCCCCATATAACGGTACCTCTCGAAATTCGTTATTTTGACGATTTTTGTCACATTTCTCCTCGGATTTGTCCGCGTTGCCGGCCCGTACTTTTTGTCTATTATGCATATTTGTCAAAGCATAATTATTCAAAGATATGAATGTTATAAATGTTCACGTACTGGTCGATTATTTTTCAATTTTGAGTCAAATGAGCAGTAATTTGGAATTTACTGTTCTTTGTACACCTCATAATTGAGGGCTAATTGATTTAAGAATAGCCAAAGTTAATTACTTTTTTAAACCCATTAGCACCTCCGATTGTGCATTAGAGTCCTCATAAGTCCCCCTAACCATGTCGGTCAGTTTGTCCGCCAAAAGGTGGACTTGAGGGGGTTCTATTACATGGAGAAATTTCTAAAATTTGTAGATATGTTGAAATTTTTGTGTAAGATTTACACCCCCAAATACACATTTTTAGCCAAATCCTTTGAAATATGGTAAAATGCGAAACATCGACCTACATTGAAAACTTTCTTAACCCCTTATAATCAAAGTTGACAAATAGAGGCCAAATCGAAAATATAGCAGAACAACATAACATGTCAAACTGAAAAAAAATCACGTGATTTAAATAAGTAAAAATAGTTTTATCCACCTCATAATTGAGGTCAGACTGATTTCAGAATAGTCAAATATAATTACTATTTTACACCCATTACCGTAATATGGGAACTAATTTTATTTGTCATTTAAATTGTAAATTGGAGACCACATATAGCCATATTTTTCATCATAGTATAATTCAATGATGATTCAACAAATATTCGGTCCCGTGCTACTTTCTTATATTTGTAATTCGTTCATGTTTTCACAATTTATTTCATATAGATGTATATCCCAAATCTACGTTCCCAACCAATATTCTCTTGGGGGTTACAAATTCGATAGAATACAAATTTTTTCTTTTCTGACCACACATTAGATGTGAAAGTGGACTTGGGGATACTCCAATGTGGGGACATTACATGAATAAATTTCTATGTGGCAATTATCTGTACGATGGTTCCTTACCCCAGGGTAGCATAAATACAATTTTTTAGTGGCCAAGACCAATATGGACCCTACTCCGAAAATTTTATGCGAAGAGGTTCTCTATCCCCTTAGAAACAAAGATGCCAAATAAGGGCCAAAAATAGAAGAAAGTGGCGAAGACTCCAAAAATGGCTTAAATCATACGATGGTTATTTATGAACGATATCATGACCTGCAAAAGCGATTTAAGGTATCTTAAATGTTCAGGAAGAATTTTTGGAAGGATAGAAATCCTTTTCTTACTAAAAGTCCCATTCGCTCTACTATTTTGCACCCTTCATATTTGGTATTTTACTGATTGTACTCCCAAAATTTTTTGCATTTTGAGCTCTCATTGGACGGATTATTTTCACATGAAAGAAGTAGGGCCACGCTTTGAAATAAGCCCCATTAGTCTTTTTCGGTCATTTTTGTTTGTTTAAATGTGTGCGCATCTTCCAGCTGAAGCACGATGTAGGCCCTGGAGTTGAAAGGTAGATGTCAGTTAACATCGTATTTCGCACTTATTTCATTTTTTTGTTGAAAAATTGTATATAGTGAAAAATTATTCTTTATTTTGTTCACAAAAAATCCACTGAATTCAATATGATAATACAAATTGAAAAAAATTACAAAAGAAGAATAACAAATTGAAAAAATCTTCAACTTCTTCGCTGATTTTTTACAGCAACTGTTTAAAGATCCTTACAAAGTTTGTCAATAGAATGTACTTTTATTTTAAAATTCAATTCCATTGGAATTTTTTTTCGATATTTTCCCGTTTTGAGAATTGTTGCAATGAGATCTCTTTTTTCGTGTTTCTTTTTAACGATTTTGAAAAAGTAATTTTCTTTTAACTTTGGTGTGACCGCATTAAATTATTTCGGTATCATCTATTCCGTTTCGCCACCACATAATTCGGTACTACACTTCCATGTAACCCGTTATCAATTTCAGTTCTCAAGAAATCAAGTCAATTAAATAAATTGGTATTAATATTCGAATTCAAAAATAAAATATAAAAAACACTACAATTGTACATTAGAAAAAAGTAAGTCAAAATGGAAACAATCATGCAAAATAAAACATTCCTATTGTACATTTCAAAAGTCAAAATGAAAATGTTAACATATCACATTTTTACGCGATTTTTTTGGATATTATCCTTTTCGGATAAGAGACAATTCCGAATTTGTATGAATTATTAAAATCAGTTCAGCGGTTCTTAAGTTATAAGCGTAGTAACTAACACAACTTTATATATATATATATATATATATATATATATATATATATATATAAGGTGGTGCAAAAGTAAACTTCCGATATTTTTTGGCTGTCATTTTTGTAAGTTATGATCGACCATCACTCCCGAAAATGTAGTATTTACTTTCGTCGCTAAATAGAACGCGATTCCAATAATCAATTCCCTTGTCGACATGTAATTTGGCTAGCTCTAGGAGAAGTTTCGGGTTTTCTCCAAAAGGCTTTACACGCTAAAAAGCTTTTTAAGATTTCTAAAGGAAGTTCTGTTGTAGAACAATAAATGTGGTTCCTTTTTTTAACTTTGGTATTCTTCCATATTTGTAGGAGTTGCCACTTTGTATGAAAATTTTTTCCCGCCAATTTTTTCATATATTTATACCCTACAACACTATGTGTTGGGGGTATTATAAGTTTGATTGGGCCAGAAATTATGTAACACCTCGAAATATTGGTTTCCCATATAGGAAAGTATATATGGATGTTTCTAGCTCGCCGAGCTGAGTCGATCTAGCTATGTATGTCCGTCCGTCCGTCTGTCCATGTTAATTTGTAATCACTCTACAGGTCGCAATTATGGTCCGATCTTCACGAAATTTAAAATGGAGGTGGGGTTAGGGTCAGAATAGAAGCCTATTTCTTTTGGAGATGATCGCCAAATGTTTAGGGGTTGAAATGGACCAAATACTGAAAAAAATATCGGATTTTGCAGTAGCTATACAGGTCGCAATTATAGACCAATCGACGCGGAATTTCGTACTAGAGTTTAGGGCGGGGACGTAGCCTACCAATTAGGGTGGTCATCGGATAATATTTAGCGGGTAAAATGGACCATATCTTTTGTGTTGAAAAAATTCAACATTTTTCATTAAACCGCGAATATTTTAAATCCCGGCGAAATCACAAAGCCATCACATGGTTACTTCTGACCTTTACATTGATGTTATTATCCAACAAATCGGATATATAGCAAAATATGTGCGATATATATGTCTATCAAAGAAGCTATGCTTGAAAGATCTCTTATATGTCGAGAACGGCTGAACTGATTTCGACAGTTCTCATTAATTCAGAATGGCCTCTTGGCAGGAAACAAAAAACGTCTAAAAAATCGCATAAAAATATGTCTCTAAAGATGGAAATATTGATTTTGTAACATTTCTCATATTTTTTCAATTTTGTCATATTTTTGGCATATTTTCATTTTGAATTAAACATTTGGTAATATTTCTACAGCTAACAAAACTAAGTAGTTAGGATATCAGGATATCATATACAGATCGCATTCATGGCCCGATCCTTACGAAATTTTGCATGGGGATAAGATGAGGGTCAGAATAGAAGCCTACTCTTTTTGGAGATGATCGCCATATATTTAGGGGTTGAAATGGACCAAAAAACTGCAAAATTGTCAGCAGGTCGTAATTATCGCCCGATCCTCACGCACATTTGAATGGGGGTTACCGACCATTGCAAAAGCCAAGCAGTTTTGGATGGCCATCCAAAAATATTCAATGTGTGAAGGAGTTTGCCAACTTTTATAGACAAAATACGAAAATGTCTATTCCAGTGACTTTTTGGAGAATTCACAAACACAGGAAAGACGCACTTCTGACCATTTCGTTAACGCTGATTTCGCTGAAGAATATAGTCAAAAGTGTGTATCTCTTATAGATGCGTTTCAGTCAAAAACCAATAATAAATGTTAATCTTTTGCCACTTCTAAGATATTATAGGTCTTTGGGAAATATTGGTTCCAGATCTAGGAAGACCATTTACCAATAAATTGGAAATGAGCAAATTAGTTTAAGTTGCTATTATTCGAAAATTAGAGAACGAAACCTGATGGTTTTCTTTTATTATTTGTCACAATATCTTGTGGAATTCTTTCGAGTATCTTGCCTATATAAACTGTATCGTTTATTATAGTGTTGTAGGGTATTCAACGGTCGGCCCCGCTCGACTGTAGCCTTTGCTTACTTGTTATTTTTATAATTAAACTTGAATGCTTTAAATATACACATAAAATTGTGTTTAATTATAGTTGCCCATTGGCCAAAATCATAAAATCGCCACATGACTTGTGTGTCCAATTCTTTGCTAGTTTTACCTCATATGGTGATTTTTTTGCCAGTTATGTGTTTATTAACATTTATTGTGACCTATTCGTTTGCCAGTCTTATACCCTACACCACACAGTGGTAAGGGTATTATGTCTTTTTGCATTTGTTTGTAACATGGAGAAGGAAACGAGATACACCCATAGTTACTTTTGGTGATCAGCATAGAATCACATTTTGAGTCGGTTTATGCATGTTCGTCCGTCCGTCTGTCTGTCCGTCCGTCCGTCTGTCCGTCCGTCTGTCCATGTATTTTTGTAATCAAAATGCAGGTCGCATTTATTATTCGATTGAGAAGAAATTTTCGAAATAACATATGTTTGGCTCAAGGACGAACTCTATTGAAATTGGTGAAAATCGGCCCAAATTTAGATGTAGCTCCCATATATATCTTTATCCGATTTTAGATTTCTTGTGCACCAAATGGCTTATATCAGTCTAAATGGTGTGAATTTTGCTACACCGAATTCAGCCTTCAAGCATGTGCTTCAAATTTGGTGCAAAACGGTTCAGATATAGCTATAGCTCCCATATATATGTTTCATCCGATTTTGGTGTTTAAGTCTCTTACATTCGTTATATGCACTCCACAAGACTGATATTTAGCACCATATATCAGATACAGCCTAGCAATTCACAGATCAAATTTTATCAAGTTCGGTTCAGATTTGGATATAGCTCCCATATATATCTTCATCCGATTTTAGATTTCTTGTGCACCAAATGGCTAATATCATTTCAAATGGTGTGCATTTTAGCACTTCCGACCGAATTCACTATAAAAATAAGTACTTTAAAGTTGGTGGAAATCGGTTCAGATATAGCTGTAGCTCCTATATAGTGTTTATGGTGTTTAAGTCCCTCACATTCGTTATATACACCCAACAGAAATGATATTTAGTACCAAATATTAGATTCAGCGCAGCAATGATTCAAATTTTATCAAGATCGGTTCAGATTTGGATATAGCTCCCCCATATATCTTCGTCCGATTTAAGTTTCTTGTGCACCAAATGGCTAATTTCAGCCCAAAGTGAGTGAAAAGTTGCACTTCCGAGCGAATTCATTCTAGAAGTTAACATTTAAAACATGGTGAAAATCGTTTCGGATATAGCTCTAGCTACATATAAATGTTTCATCCGATCCGATTATTATATTTATTGTTAGAGTCAGTCTGAGACCCCGAGCTAGTCTCATTCTCTCTTACAATGTTCTCTTTTGTTTTATATTAACACAATACCTCATCCCACTCGCACATAGCATATATACAGGGTGAGATGAAAAAAACTCTAACAAAGTCCAACGCCATAATTTTTATGGCGTTCGATGACCAAATTTTATTGAATGAAAGCAAAAATGTCGGAAATAGCATCAAATTGTAGAATAAGTTTAGATTTTTCGAATTGGTCACCTTTGGCACGAATTATGGCCTTCAAGTGGCGAATGAAACCGTCACACGCTGTCCGAATGTTGCTCTTAGATATTTTGGCCCATTCCCGGCGAAGCGCTTGCTTGAGGTGATCGACACTTTGGTATTTTTTAGTGCCAACCTTGCTTTCCAAAATACTCCAGAGACAATAGTCAAACAGATTGGTATCCGGAGATTTTGGTGGCCATTATGCGCTGGAAATTAAGCGAGGAACCTAATTTTGTAACAATTCATGGGTAACGCGTCCTGTTGGCATGCCCAATGCCTTAATACACCCTTCAAAACATTTTCGCAATTTATTCTGATGCCATGGTCGATTAAAACGAGCGGAGAGCGACCATCGTCGGTTATGGCGGCCCAAACCATCACCATGGCCGGCGCTTGAGTTCTGGTGGCCAACCGAAGGTGCAATTTCAGCTGACCTCTTTGACAAGTAAACGCGATCACTTTGTTTACAAACTGCTGGAACGAATGTTGTTGAAAACCAAATTCGGTCAAGCGAAGCAACTCTTTAGCTCTTTTGAGTCTATTTTCTTTCTGTTGCGGTGTAAGTTCTTGCACTCTTTGGAATTTCAATGGCTTTACACCGAGCTTATTTTTCAATATTTGTCGAATGGAATATTGCGATATGTTCAGCTCACGGGCTTGAAAAAAAGCGACGCGATCCGTTCAAACGATCAAACTTTGGGGTTTCTCTAACAATACTCTTCCCTCCAAAAAATAACTTTTCAGAACTTCTATACTAGAACTCGGAAGACTTTCAGAGGCTTTTAACGCAATGCAACAGTACATCTGGGAGTGTGCAAAATTCCAATTAACGGTAACAGTATTATGACAGCTAAACGAAACCCCAAAAACATTTCGAGTTCTCATGCCATAATGGTAACAATGGACTAAAGGTGAGAATACATTAAACACTTTTTTGACTGGCATAAGTCATCGGCAGGCTTCTTCGTTCCTTTGGTCCTTTGTTCTTTTCCGACGAAGCCAGCCGATGACTTAAGCCAGTCAAAAAAGTGTTTTATGTATTCTCACCCTAAAAGTTCGAGGAATTTTAAGCTAGGCTTGACAATTTTTAAGATAGATCTTTCAAACCAGTGGATGCCATTCAAACCTAAGAACCTTATTAATTTTTGAGAGGCCTTCAAAAATTTTGCCTAAGACCTAAAAACTATTTTATTCACATTTTATTTTAATTTTTTCCATTATTCAATCTTGCCTCCCCTCCCTTTCCACTTACCTTTTTGGTGATGGCATAATTGGTGAGCAGAACAAAAAATATCCGACTGGTGTGCAGGAACAACCAAACAAATTTGAAAATGACCAAAATTAATTCATTCAACGAGGGATTATCGAAATATTTGTAAAGCGAGAAAAACTCTATGGTCAGGACCACAAATGATGTCAGGAAATTCAATACCAAAACTATGCGGAATATTTCGACAATTGCCGTTAGGACACCATACAGATCCGCATTGATTTTCTGCAGCTTCAGAAAAATGCCATGAACATTATGTGGCATAGTCTTGCGATAACTTTTACTGCCATAGAATTCCTTTTGGAACCACAATGATGTTGGATATAAAATCGAAGAACTCTCTTCTTCGACGCCGCTCCTCACTTGGGGTAAATATTTCAGGATGCCGTTGATACATTGCAGCTGATGGGCAATAAATCGTAGTAATAGCCAATAGAGACATAAATTGAAATTGATTAAAATATTCGGTATATTATAGGCCAGTAGGGGGCGTATAAGGCCCCACTTGAACGTCGGACGATACAACATATTGATGGTAATGCACAGGATTTGAAAGAGACTCAAGCAAACGGCTAGAACTTGAACTTCTCTCTTGATACGTAAGTACATGTTTTCCATAACAATGCCATCTCCCAACATTTTATAGCATGCTTTTAGGCGCTCCGAATTTTTTGCTATCCTCAAACCAACATCCTTTAAGGCATTATTATTGAAAAATGTATTGAAATAGATGACACAACACAGTATCGCATAGAGAAAAAGTTCACAAAAAAATAAAAATTTCTCCATTGAGGTCAGCTTCGCATCTATGGCACACACTTCGGCCATGCACATTATCCAAATGCCCAGCAACAGGACGACACACCAACACCTCTGGCCGTAACGTAAACAACAATCCGTGCCCGCATATGGCAATATACCGAATACTTCGAAAACATTTATGTAAACTTTTAAAAATTCCATAAATTTAATTTTATTAAAATCCTTGTTTGTCATTTGTTGAACTTGTCCCGGGGGAGTTGCAACACTTTTTATTCGATATCGAGAGCTAAACATGTTTTCCGGTATTGCCTTAAGCGACTGAGCTGCTTATTATGTTTCCTTTCGATACACAGTTGTCAATCATTAGTGTCACAGTGTCGATAATGAACTTGGCCTGATTATCCTCTTTTGGGGATTTTTTTTCGAGTAATTGATTTCATTATCCTGTTGCAATTTGATTAATGAAACTTTGTAGGCTGTGATGCAAGCCCTGAATGTCAACAGAGATAAATACAACAAGTAAGCAAAGACTACAGTCGAGCGGGGCCGACCGTTGAATACCCTACAACACTATAGTAAATGATACAGTTTATATAGGCGAGATACTCGAAAGAATTCCACAAGATATTGTGACAAATAATAAAAGAAAACCATCAGGTTTCGTTCTCTAATTTTCGAATAATAGCAACTTAAACTAATTTGCTCATTTCCAATTTATTGGTAAATGGTCTTCCTAGATCTGGAACCAATATTTCCCAAAGACCTATAATATCTTAGAAGTGGCAAAAGATTAACATTTATTATTGGTTTTTGACTGAAACGCATCTATAAGAGATACACACTTTTGACTATATTCTTCAGCGAAATCAGCGTTAACGAAATGGTCAGAAGTGCGTCTTTCCTGTGTTTGTGAATTCTCCAAAAAGTCACTGGAATAGACATTTTCGTATTTTGTCTATAAAAGTTGGCAAACTCCTTCACACATTGAATATTTTTGGATGGCCATCCAAAACTGCTTGGCTTTTGCAATGGTCGGTAACCCCCATTCAAATGTGCGTGAGGATCGGGCGATAATTACGACCTGCTGACAATTTTGCAGTTTTTTGGTCCATTTCAACCCCTAAATATATGGCGATCATCTCCAAAAAGAGTAGGCTTCTATTCTGACCCTCATCTTATCCCCATGCAAAATTTCGTAAGGATCGGGCCATGAATGCGATCTGTATATGATATCCTGATATCCTAACTACTTAGTTTTGTTAGCTGTAGAAATATTACCAAATGTTTAATTCAAAATGAAAATATGCCAAAAATATGACAAAATTGAAAAAATATGAGAAATGTTACAAAATCAATATTTCCATCTTTAGAGACATATTTTTATGCGATTTTTTAGACGTTTTTTGTTTCCTGCCAAGAGGCCATTCTGAATTAATGAGAACTGTCGAAATCAGTTCAGCCGTTCTCGACATATAAGAGATCTTTCAAGCATAGCTTCTTTGATAGACATATGTGTTAACATCAATGTAAATTTCAGAAGTAACCTTGTCATGTCTTTGTGATTTCGCCGGGATTTAAAATATTCGCGGTTTAATGAAAAATTTTGAATTTTTTCAACAAAAAAGATATGGTCTATTTTAGCCACTAAATATTATCCGATGACCATCAAAATTGGTAGGCTTCTTCCCCGCCCTAAGCTCTAGCTAGTCGATTGGTCTATAATTGCGACCTGTATAGCTATTGCAAAATCCGACATGTTTTCAGTATTTGGTCCATTTCAACCCCTAAATATTATGCGATCATCTTCAAAAGAAATAGGGTTCTTTTCTGACCTTAACCCCACCTCCATTCTAAATTTCGTGAAGATCGGGCCATAATTGCGACCTGTAGAGTGATTACAAATTAACATAGACAGACGGACAGACGCACGGATGGACATACATAGCTAGATCGACTCAGCTCGGCGAGATAGGAAGATCCATATATACTTTCCCATGTGGGAAACCAATATTTCGAGGTGGTACATAATTTTTGACCCAATCAAACTTATAATAGCCCCAGCACATAGTGTTGTAGGGTATAAAAAATGAAACAGTGGTTCAAATAAAATTAGAATTGTTTGTTTTTTTCCTCTTAAGACTTCTACAAAAAGAGGGTGGAAGACCTACCTTAAAAAAAAAAAAAAAAAAAAAAAAAAAAAAAAAAACAAGTAAGCAAAGGCTACAGTCGAGCGGGGCCGACCGTTGAATACCCTACAACACTACAATAAACGATACAGTTTTACAGATACTTGGAAGAATTCCACAAGATATTATGACAAATAATAAAAGAAAACCTTCAGGTTTCGTTCTTTAATTTTCGAATAATAGCAACTTTAACTAATTTGCTCATTTCCAATATATTGGAAGATGTTGCACGTAAATGGTCTTCCTAGATCTGGAACCAATATTTCCCAAACACCTATAATCTCTCAGAAGTGGCAAAAGATTAACATTTATTATTGGTTTTTGACTGAAAGGCATCTATATGAGATACAGACATTTGACTATATTCTTCAGCGAAATCAGCGTTAACGACATAGTCAGAAGTGTGTCTTTCCATCCAAAACTGCTTGGCTTTTGCAATCTCCGGTAACCCCCATTCAAATGTGCGTGAGGATCGGGCGATAATTACGACCTGCTGACAATTTTGCAGTTTTTTGGTCCATTTCAACCCCTAAATATATGGCGATCATCTCCAAAAAGAGTAGGCTTCTATTCTGACCCTCATCTTATCCCCATGCAAAATTTCGTAAGGATCGGGCCATAAATGCGATCTGTATATGATATCCTGATATCCTAACTACTTAGTTTTGTTAGCTGTAGAAATATTACCAAATGTTTAATTCAAAATGAAAATATGCCAAAAATATGACAAAATTGAAAAAATATGAGAAATGTTACAAAATCAATATTTCCATCTTTAGAGACATATTTTTATGCGATTTTTTAGACGTTTTTTGTTTCCTGCCAAGAGGCCATTCTGAATTAATGAGAACTGTCGAAATCAGTTCAGCCGTTCTCGACATATAAGAGATCTTTCAAGCATAGCTTCTTTGATAGACATATATATCGCACATATTTTGCTATATATCCGATTTGTTGGATAATAACATCAATGTAAAGGTCAGAAGTAACCATGTGATGGCTTTGTGATTTCGCCGGGATTTAAAATATTCGCGGTTTAATGAAAAATGTTGAATTTTTTCAACACAAAAGATATGGTCTATTTTACCCGCTAAATATTATCCGATGACCACCCAAATTGGTAGGCTTCTTCCCCGCCCTAAACTCTAGCTACATGCGAAATTCCGCGTCGATTGGTCTATAATTGCGACCTGTATAGCTACTGCAAAATCCGACATTTTTTCAGTATTTGGTCCATTTCAACCCCTAAACATTTGGTGATCATCTCCAAAAGAAATAGGGTTCTATTCTGATCCTAGCTCCACCTCCATTCTAAATTTCGTGAAGATCGGGCCATAATTGCGACCTGCAGAGTGATTACAAATTAACATGGACAGACGGACAGACGGACATACGGACGGACGGACATACATAGCTAGATCGACTCAGCTCGGCGAGATAGGAAGATCCATATATACTTTCCTATGTGGGAAATCAATATTTCGTGGTGTTACATAATTTTTGGGCCAATCAAACTTATAATACCCCCAACACATAGTGTTGTAGGGTATAAAAACAAGTTAAAAAGTATCAGTAGGTATTGCCGACAGATGTATACCCTCAGAAAATGTTCGATCATTTAAATATGTTTTGACTTCTTTTATGATTATTCAATTATTTGACCCTCTATGGAGTAGATTCCGTATTAATGGGCCAATATTGTACATTTCGTATCGGACCTAAATAAATATGATATAATAATATGGGATATTGCGATGTGCCAGGTTTGGACTATATCATCTATTTTCTTTATTTTATAGGAGATATGTGATAGATTTTAGAAAATATTAACATGTGCGTGAGATAACAGATATAGTCGACCGAAGTATTCCATTTTAATACCCTCCACCATAGTATGAAGGCTATATTAATTTTGTCATTCCGCTTGCTACACCTCGAAATATACATTTTAGACCCCACAAAGTACATACAGGGTGAGATAAAAAAACTGCAACAAAGTCAAACGCCATAATTTCCACATTTTTTTTAAATTTTATTGAATGAAAGCAAAAAATTTCGAAAATAGCATCAAATTTTAGAATTAGTTTAGATTTGTTCGAATTGGCCACCTTTGGCACGAATTATGGCCTTCAAACGGTCAATGAAACCGTCACACGTTGCCCGAATGTTGCTCTGCGGTATTTTGGCCCTTTTCCCGGCGAAGCGCTTGCTTGAGGTGATCAACGCTTTGGTATTTTTTAGTGCCAACCTTGCTTTCCAAAATACTCCAGACACGATAGTCCAACGGATTGATATCTGGAGATTTTGGTGGCCATTGTGCGCTGAAAATGAAGCGAGGAGCCTCATTTTGTAACCATTTATGGGTGGCGCGTGCTGTTTCCGATGGTGCTGAGTCCTGTTGGAATGTCCCAGGTCTGCAGCCAAAATGTTTGCCTGCCCAATGTTTTAATACACACTCCAGAATATTTTCGCGATAATATTTGGTATTTATTCTGATGCCACGGTCGATTAATACGAGCGGAGAGCGACCATCGGCTGTTATGGCGGCCCACACTATCACCATGGCCGTTGCTTGAGTTCTGGTGGCCAACCAAGGGTGCATATTTTCAGCTGACCTCTTTGGCAAGTAAACACAATCATTTTGTTTGTTTACAAACTGCTGGACAACGAATGCTTTCTCATCGGAGAAAATAAAATTCAGCAGTTCACCACTTTCGGCCAAGCGAAGCAACTCTTTAGCTCTCTTTAGTATATATTCTTTCTGTTGCGGTGTAAGTTCTTGCACTTTTTAGATTTTCAATGATTTTACCCCAAGCTCATATTTCAATATTTGCGAATGGAATATTGCGATACGTTCAGCTCACGAGCCATCGGCCACTGCGACGCGTGTTTCGATTAAGGCGCTTCTTTACTTTTCGAACCATTTCTGCTGATGTTGCTGTTTTCTTCCGTCCACTATTTGGCTTCGGACCACGCTACCAGTATCACGGTAGCGAGCGATGGTACGAGACACAAAAGATTTATTTACATTTAAATGCTGGAGTGCTCTAATGATAGCCACTTGTGGTTTTCCAGCCAAATATAAAGAAATCACACTATCACGCTTGAATTTCAACACGAATAACTTTTTTTCTGGAAAATTGGTGCGAATATGCTTTTGTATGCTTGTAAACAATATAAAGAGCTGTCACTGGAATAATTTTAACAGCTGTTGGACGAGTGGCTTTAAAATGACAGCAGTCTGAAATTGGTTGCAGTTTTCTCATCTCACCCTGTATACCCTCAGTAGCCATATGACGAAGGGTATAATAAGAGTTTGCTCACATTGGTGACCTTATGCAAAGAAAGTAATACACCTTCCAATGTGTTATCGTGATCAAAACTTTTAGGACTTTGGAGGGTACAGCACTAATTCTGTGCCGAGAGATGTTTTAAAATAATTTGTAGATTCCGAACCGGAAAATCCGGTTGTGAAAAGATCTATTTGTGTATGGTAAATCTGGTTGAATAAATCCGAATATATAATATAAATAAATCCTGATCACGTTTATGTTCACAATTCCATTGCCTACTCCTCAAACAAATCTTCATAAGGAAGGTTAATCCCGCAAAAAAAACTCTAACGTAAACATGCCTTAACATTTTGTATTAAAACGCCCCGTAAAGTGTGTCATTACCGTTTTAGCAATGAATGGCAAAATAAAAGTAGGGATACATAAGTCGACTTTTGACAAGCTTTTGCAATTGAAAAGTCTAAAAGTACGTTTAGATTTACGAAATCCACTCGATCTTTAATATCAAATCCATGGTAGAAGAATATATGTAGACGCGTCGACACAGCTGCTGGGACAATGAACTGTCAAACCAATTTTGGAATTGAAAATGTTGAATGAAAAATTATTTAAATTTGTAAAAATTGTTGAAAAACGCGAATTATAATAGCCTCCGAATAACGTAGTATAAGAAAACATATAAAAATCTACTTACATTTGAAAAAACAACTAAATTTTTTGACATATCAATGCTCCCAAGCGTTGATGCATCTACCTGTATTTTTCTGCCATGATAAATTCCATAGCGTATACGTAAAATAATACCTACTGGATTTATGAATACGATTTACGTGGCGTATAATCTATGAAATTGGCTTTTGAAATCGAGTGGATTTGGTAGCATATACTTGCTCTAAAAGTCGACCTTTTTAGAATTTAGCCGGCCATGCGGCATAGACATTTAAGACCTGAAAGATATTACTCTGCTCTAGAACCTGCAAGAATCTACTAGTTTTGCAATTTTCTCCGATATCATGAAGGGAAAATCGGTTATCGTAGTAAAAGCTTTTACATTCATGCAGTTCTGGAACATACCAAGTATCTACTAGCTTTGCATTAAAGATAAAACGGTTATCGTAGTTGAAATATTTACATTTTTGTCATTCTGGAACTGCGAAATTTGTAGTACTCCAAAGATGTTTGTTTGTTTGTTTGAAAATGGTCTGTATGGATCCTAGGTTAGGTGTAGTCTGCATATCCTAGTAGTATCCTTATAATATCCTTAGTAGTATTCGACTAAATCTTCTTTAATTTAACACTAAGGTAAATTCTCCCTTTGCAAAAAAAATGAACTTATAGGTCTTTTATTTCTCGGAAGACATGCGATAAATGAGCATAGTAGGGTGAGTTAAATAAACTGCAACATAGTCAAACGCCATAATTTTTACATTTTTTTTATAATTTTATTGAATGAAAGCAAAAAATGTCGGAAATAGCATCAAATTTCAGAATAAGTTTAGATTTGTTCGAATTGGTCACCTATGGCACGAATTATTGCCACAAACGGCCAATGAAACCATCCAACGGGTTGGTATTCGGAGATTATATATACACAAAACCGGAGATGGGAACTGTTTTCTATGCATTGAAATTTGACAATGTTAATTACAGAAAATGTAGAGCAGGGAATTCTTATTTAAAATGAGGTTATCTTTATTTTATTGTACCATGTGATCTACCCTCGAGAACCTAAGAATTCAACAAGAAAATAATGAGGGAATATTGAATTATTTTAAGTTTTGCAAAGGCAAAGGCATGCTAAAATTAAGAAGGTAATGTCATTTCAAATAGGCATTCCCAGCTCTGTATTTTATGTAATTTAACTTGTCAACTTACACGGCATAGAAAACAGATCCCCATCTCTGATTTATGTATATACAATGGATTTCTAAATACAAATTTTGACAATGAAATGTTGCATGACCATACCTCCTTAATTCTACTATGGGTTTACGGTACATTATTTTTGAAATTATAAATATTTATTATGTATATAAATAAAATCTAAGTTGTGAAATGTAATCAGAATTAAGGTGTAAATACATACACTGCTTTTTTGACTGGCTTAAGTCATCGTCTGGCTTCTTCGTAGAGGAACAAATCAAAGACTGGACAAAATTCATTTTGGGCAAATGTTTTGTTTCTACAATACATAGAGTAACAGCTCATGTCAGATGCATTTTAATAAAAAAACCACAGTTACAGAAACAAATGACAAATAAAAGTTTGAAAAATCCAAAAATGTGGTTTCAAAATACTATTCCATAGACCTTTCCAAAAATTTGAACATTGCCTTAGCGGTTTAAATCATAACAACAGAGGTATTTTCACAGGGTTGCCATATTTTGACTCTGTCTTGTCCCATCTTTATACTTCTATGTCTTTGAAAAAGGGAGTTTTAGGTTTACTTAGTTCGATTTTGGGCCTATGCTCCTTTGTTCTTTTGCGAAGAACCCAGCCGATTACTTAAAGCAGTCAGAAAAGCGTTTTATGTATTGTCACCTTTACCTATAATTGTGTGTCCTAACCGCATTTTCCAAGGTTTTGCCGAAATTCCAGATTGAGTAAGGCGTTTATATAGTGGAGGCTATAACAAGTTCACCCTTTGCTTCTTCCCCGAGCATCACAAAATATTTTTAATTTATTAACAAATTAATACGTGATAGGATACACCCACTTACCTTATAACACTCCCCATAGCATTTCTCATGTCAACAGGCCATATAACCTGTTCCAACCTGTTAAAAATAACCAATAAAAAAATTAGCTGACTTCTCGTCATGGTTAAGTATAATTAATTACAAACTGACCAATTATAAAAACATTTATCACACATACAACCTGACACACACACACACATAGACACGAAGACAGTTAACACCGAAATTAACACCACTGGAGGTAAAAACAGCTAAACGTTCAGACACAACCGAAACAATCATTAAAACGTAACTACCAACAAAGCAGAGAAGAGATTTCAATCAAAATTATTTGGACATCTCACAAAATGTCTATTAAAATGAAGAAAGATTTCAAATTGTATTCAAATGGAACAACATTGAAATTTCAAAACAAAAACAAAGTGCATGACGATGGCGATGATGTTCGCAAACATCAATATTTGAAGAAACAGCTGTATGGGACCACCAAAATGTTGCTAAGGATTTCTCAGATTTTTCTCTGTGCTCCAATGGGTGTTCAGAAACCCAAATCCCAGGAAACCACCAAGGAACGCCTTATCTATTACATACACTTCCTATGGTGCACTGGCCTCTATTTGGGTTTGGTTGTGTGTGTTTACGATGAGTACACCTCATCGAACATTGAATTGCCCACGGTACAAAAGCCACTGTATTTCAGTGAATATTTGGTTTACTTAATGCATTTATTTGTGATCCTTTTGTCTATCTTTGGAGGACGTGAAACCTTTTGGAAATTCTATGAATTTATTCTCGACTTAGATCGTCTTCTTTGGCAGCGTGGAATCCCCGTGAACTATAAAGGACTACAGTGGTTTATACGCCAGCATTTTCTGTTGATTACAGCGCATTTGGTTGCGACCGTCATTGTGGGGTATTTCTATAGTTTCGGGGTGTGGTTGAATTTCGTGCGCACCAGTACCGTATATGTTATACCGAATATTATCATACACATCTCCTTGGTCCAGTATTATACGTTACTTTATCTAACCGCAGAGCGTTCCGATTGGTCATATGATTTGTTACAGCAATTACTTGGCAACCCTAGCAGCACAAAGTCGTTCCAAGAACTTCGTCTGGAGCTGCATTTCATACGCTCGCTCTATGCGAAATTGGAACAATTCACACGGGATGTTAATGATGCCTTTTCCTATTCCATTATTCTGGTGTATGTGGGCTCCTTCATTAATATTAGCATTAATATTTTCCTGCTCTTTAAATATTTGGGTAATTGGGAAACATCGAATTTGGCCTGGACCGCATATTCGGTGGTCTGGACATGCATGCATATCGGTAAGATGTCCTTGATTTTGTACTACAATGAGAATATACAGAGTAAGGCGAGTTTCCGGTTTTTCGATTGGCAGAATGAGGAAAAATTGTCATTGACTTTTTAAACTCTTTTCAGAAAACAAGGGCCACACATTTGCTAAGCACCTACCGATATGAGAACATGGCCTTAGAGCCCGCTGTAAGTAATTAAAAAAATATTATTAAATATGCAATATGAACAAATTTCTTTTATAAATATTTTTCACTTATTTCTAGTTTCGTCATTTCATTCTCCAACTGATGTCCGATACTCGCAGTAACGTTATCTGTGGTTTGGCTGCTTTAAATTTGAACTTTGTTACATCTGTATGCTACAAAACGCTTTTAATATTGAATCCCTACAAACAACTTTTTTTCTCTGAATTGTTTCAGCTACTGGTGGCAATATCAACATTATTTATCTTTTTGGTTCAATACGATATAACATACGAAGCACTGACGAAAACTTTCAATTCAGCCAGACCGACAATTGCATAACAAGAAAAATACAGGGCCGAAAATATCAGAAGAATGAAGTCTAGTCAACCAAATCAACGTTAACGAACGTAAGACAATGAAACACTATAATACCTACACTATAATAGACATAAATTCCCTGACATACCCCGTGGTAAACATTATCACATGTATCAACTAATGAATAAAAATTGTTTTTATAAAAATAACAAGACTGGGGTAGAGCCTTGCTACTTTGCATCCACAAAATAAATACGGTATAATTAGTTCCAACACTCTTCAATAAATTTAAACTTAAAAAATATTTATTAAAACATAAATTGTGGGTGTTGTAACGGTAATTTCCACTTTAACATAGCAAACAGCTTTTGTATATGATTAACATTGTCGGCGTCATAAACATACTTCTGCACCTTTGTATTTATTCCTTCATCATTTTTTCAACGTTGCCAACTGCTTTTATAGTGGTTGCCATTTAAATGCATGCAAACGTTAAAAATTAGATTTCCCTGGTTACTTTACAGGATTTCTCCAGCAGCTACTTTCTAAGAGAGAGTAATAAAAGTGAGAATACATAAAACGCTTTTCTGACTGGCTTAAGTCATCGACTGTACCAGAATACCACCATTGAAGGACATAAGTAAAGGTGGAAATACATAAAGCGCATTTTTGACTGGCTTATAGATAAACAAAGGAGTATTAGGTTGACTTAGTTCGATTTTGGCCCTAGGCTCCTTTGTTCATTTGCGAAGAAGCCAGCCGATGACTTAAGCCAGCCAGATAAGCACTTTATCTATTCCCACCTTTAGTACTTCGAATCATGGTAAAATTAAGAAAGTAAAGTCATTTCAAACAAGCATTCCCATCTCTGTATTTTCTGTAATTTACATGGTCATATTTCACTTCATAAAAACAGGTTTCTATCTCTTATTTGTGTTTGTACAAATTATTTATAAATACAAATTTTGACAATGAGATGTTGTCAAATGAATAATTTTTTAAAAAATTGTAAACATATGTTTGCATGACCTTACCTTCTTGATTCTACTATGCTTCGAATTTGAGATGAGTGATTATGAGACTATCAGGCATGTCACTAAATCGTATCGAAATAGTTTGAATTTCGCAATTCAAAATCGTAAATTTTTGTTTTAGCTTCTTCATATGGTAACATTAGGTGAATGAAAGAACGAATGAATGAGGAATCAAAACAGAACACATGATTAGAAAACATCTGTTATGAGGGTATTTTGTGAAAAAAGAAAGTTCATTTCATTATTTTTTACGCAATGCCGGGGGTTTCGATTGTTCCTGTAATTGAGGTGCAAAGTAGTAAACACAATACTGAAAAATGCGCCGGAGGAATTTAAGAGATTCTTCGGACCGAATTCCTGTGCCTGCCCCTAAAATAATTAAATAATGATTATTGATTCCATAATACACATTTCACATATTTTAAGATACACATTTTTGGGTGTTATTTTTGTTTTGTTTTTCCTCTTTGCTTCAGTTAATTATTCGTAATGCCATGTTTACGTTAGAACTTTTCGTAGAGTTAACCTACTTTGAGAGGATTTATTTGAAGTAAAAGTAATGGAAATGACAATTTAAATCCAAATCCAGTGGGTTAACCCTCATATATATAAACGTACTATAATACCACATTATTTGGTTTTCACAAAGGAATAACTGTTGTTTGACGAAAAAAGTGATTTGGCAACACTTTATTAGTAATTGCTTTCGCCAATTGAGAAACCATTAAAATTTGCTAATTATTTTGAATAAAATGATTAAACATTTTAATTTAATTGTGTATTTGTCATTAACACAACATTTTTATTACTTAAAAGTATTTTGAGTGTGTTTTTAAGTCACAAGTTTCCATAAAAATACAGTTTCACTTGCAAACACAAAAGTGGTTTCAAATCGGAAAAATGTTGCGATTTACATTTTCCGAAGAAGCTAAGTACGAAATTAAAATCACTTTCGTACCGAATTCATTCTTGTGACATGCCTGTATGTTATTCCATTTCTTAAATGCAATATTGGGTTATTTTTATTTATAATGTGAAAATAGAGCACAGATTTTTACAATCATGGAAACTTCTTTCGATATTGATACGTTGCCAGAGGAATGCACCTAAAGCGTCTTTCAAGAAAATCCGACCTAAAAGTAGAAAGACTAGGAAACGCAGACCGAGAAATATCAAATAAATTCACCCTAATTAACCTGATAAGTTTACATGTAGGATTTCTCGCCAGCTTCATCAGGTTTTCAGCGGTAGCTTTAGACTGGTGGTTCTTTTCTTGGCTGCCCGAGATGAGGGCACTACTGATGTGCAGCACCAGCGGGATCAACATTAAAATGTCTACGTTCGCCAATATATTGTCTTAATAATACTGGGGCGTAATTTTTGTATTCAATACAAGATAAATCCAATTTGAAATTGGCAAATAGGAATTCCTTCTTCGGCTCGTTTTTTGATAGACTCTAGCAGCGCTTTTAGGCATACTTTTGCAAAAATTTGACAAGAAACATATTCGCCAAAAAATTATTTTTTCTAAAGCGAAATTTTCTATTTTTGCTTCTGGCATGAATATTAACATTTCATCTGATAAAATAACAGCTGTTTTATAGATTACTTCGCTCAAAGGAAGACCTTATAATTGGGCCATGACGAAGCACATAAAAGCTGTACTAGTTTCTATTAGAGTTACTGTATCTCATCTTCACTACCGAAGGCTTCAACAACAAACATTTTATAATAACAACAAGGAGTTATGGCCATTTTAAAAAAGGCCACAATAAAAACGATGCTAAAAACCTCGAAATGTCAATATTTAAGGAGTTATGGCCATTTTAAAAAAGGCTATTTTCTCACTTTAAATAACTGCAATCAAAACGATGCTAAAAACCCCGAAAGGTAAATATTTAAGGAGTTATGGCCATTTTAAAAAATGCAATTTTCTCACTTTAAATAACTGCAATCAAAACGATGCTAAAAACCCCGAAATGTCAATATTTAAGGAGTTATGGCCATTTTAAAAAAGGCTATTTTCTCACTTTAAATAACTGCTATCAAAACGATGCTAAAAACCCCGAAATGTCAATATTTAAGGAGTTATGGCCATTTTAAAAAAGGCTATTTTCACACTTTAAATAACTGCAATCAAACCGATGCTAAAAACCCCGAAATGTCAATATTTAAGGGGTTATGGCCATTTTCAAAAATGCTATTTTCTCACTTTAAATAACTGCAATCAAAACGATGCTAAAAACCCCGAAATGTCAATATTTAAGGAGTTATGGCCATTTTAAAGTAGGCTATTTTCTCACTTTAAATAACTGCAATAAAAACGATGCTAAAAACCCCGAAATGTCAATATTTAAAGAGTTATGGCCATTTTAAAGTAGGCTATTTTCTCACTTTAATTAACTGCAATTTAAATGATGCTAAAAACCCCGAAATGTCAATATTTAAGGAGTTATGGCCATTTTAAAAAAGGCTATTTTCTCACTTTAATTAACTGCAATTTAAATGATGCTAAAAACCCCGAAATGTCAATATTTAAGGAGTTATGGCCATTTTAAAGAAGGCTATTTTCTCACTTTAATTAACTGCAATTTAAATGATGCTAAAAACCCCGAAATGTCAATATTTGATTAGTTATTGCCATTTTAAAGTAGGCTATTTTCTCACTTTAATTAACTGCAATTTAAATGATGCTAAAAACCCCGAAAGGTCAATATTTAAGGAGTTATGGCCATTTTAAAGTAGGCTATTTTCTCACTTTAATTAACTGCAATTTAAATGATGCTAAAAACCCCGAAATGTCAATATTTAAGGAGTTATGGCCATTTTAAAAAAGGCTATTTTCTCACTTTAAATAACTGCAATCAAAACGATGCTAAAAACCCCGAAATGTCAATATTTAAGGAGTTATGGCCATTTTAAAAAAGGCTATTTTCTCACTTTAATTAACTGCAATTTAAATGATGCTAAAAACCCCGAAATGTCAATATTTAAGGAGTTATGGCCATTTTAAAAAAGGCTATTTTCTCACTTTAATTAACTGCAATTTAAATTATGCTAAAAACCTCGAAATGTCAATATTTAAGGAGTTATGGCCATTTTAAAAAAGGCTATTTTCTCACTTTAATTAACTGCAATTTAAATGATGCTAAAAACCTCGAAATGTCAATATTTAAGGAGTTATGGCCATTTTAAAAAAGGCTATTTTCTCACTTTAATTAACTGCAATTTAAATGATGCTAAAAACCCCGAAATGTCAATATTTAAGGAGTTATGGCCATTTTAAAAAAGGCTATTTTCTCACTTTAATTAACTGCAATTTAAATGATGCTAACAACCTCGAAATGTCAATATTTAAGGAGTTATGGCCATTTTAAAAAAGGCTATTTTCTCACTTTAATTAACTGCAATCAAAACGATGCTAAAAACCCCGAAATGTCGATATTTAAGGAGTTATGGCCATTTTAAAAAAGGCTATTTTCTCACTTTAAATAACTGCAATCAAACCGATGCTAAAAACCCCGAAATGTCAATATTTAAGGGGTTATGGCCATTTTCAAAAATGCTATTTTCTCACTTTAAATAACTGCAATCAAAACGATGCTAAAAACCCCGAAATGTCAATATTTAAGGAGTTATGACCATTTTAAAAAAGGCTATTTTCTCACTTTAAATAACTGCAATCAAACCGATGCTAAAAACCTCGAAATGTCAATATTTAAGGGGTTATGGCCATTTTCAAAAATGCTATTTTCTCACTTTAAATAACTGCAATCAAAACGATGCTAAAAACCTCGAAATGTCAATATTTAAGGAGTTATGGCCATTTTAAAGAAGGCTATTTTCTCACTTTAATTAACTGCAATTTAAATGATGCTAAAAACCCCGAAATGTCAATATTTAAAGAGTTATGGCCATTTTAAAGTAGGCTATTTTCTCACTTTAATTAACTGCAATTTAAATGATGCTAAAAACCCCGAAATCTCAATATTTAAGGAGTTATGGCTATTTTAAAAAAGGCTATTTTCTCACATTAATTAACTGCAATTTAAATGATGCTAAAAAAACCCGAAATGTCAATATTTAAGGAGTTATGACCATTTTAAAGAAGGCTATTTTCTCACTTTAATTAACTGCAATTTAAATGATGCTAAAAACCCCGAAATGTCAATATTTAAAGAGTTATGGCCATTTTAAAGTAGGCTATTTTCTCACTTTAATTAACTGCAATTTAAATGATGCTAAAAACCCCGAAAGGTCAATATTTAAGGAGTTATGGCCATTTTAAAGTAGGCTATTTTCTCACTTTAATTAACTGCAATTTAAATGATGCTAAAAACCCCGAAAGGTCAATATTTAAGGAGTTATGGCCATTTTAAAGTAGGCTATTTTCTCACTTTAATTAACTGCAATTTAAATGATGCTAAAAACCCCGAAATGTCAATATTTAAGGAGTTATGGCCATTTTAAAAAAGGCTATTTTCTCACTTTAATTAACTGCAATTTAAATGATGCTAAAAACCCCGAAATTTCAATATTTAAGGAGTTATGGCCATTTTAAAAAAGGATATTTTCCCACTTTAATTAACTGCAATTTAAATGATGCTAAAAACCCCGAAATGTCAATATTTAAGGAGTTATGGCCATTTTAAAGAAGGCTATTTTCTCACTTTAATTAACTGCAATTTAAATGATGCTAAAAACCCCGAAATGTCAATATTTAAAGAGTTATGGCCATTTTAAAGTAGGCTATTTTCTCACTTTAATTAACTGCAATTTAAATGATGCTAAAAACCCCGAAATGTCAATATTTAAGGAGTTATGGCCATTTTAAAGTAGGCTATTTTCTCACTTTAATTAACTGCAATTTAAATGATGCTAAAAACCCCGAAATGTCAATATTTAAAGAGTTATGGCCATTTTAAAGTAGGCTATTTTCTCACTTTAATTAACTGCAATTTAAATGATGCTAAAAACCCCGAAATGTCAATATTTAAGGAGTTATGGCCATTTTAAAGTAGGCTATTTTCTCACTTTAATTAACTGCAATTTAAATGATGCTAAAAAAACCTGGAAATAACAATTTTTAAGGAGTTATGGCCATTTTAAAAAAGGCTATTTTCTCACTTTAAATAACTGCAAGCAAAACGATGCTAAAAACTCCGAAATGTCAATATTTAAGGAGTTATGGCCATTTTAAAAAAGGCTATTTTCTCACTTTAATTAACTGCAATTTAAATGATGCTAAAAACCCCGAAATGTCAATATTTAAGGAGTTATGGCCATTTTAAAAAAGGATATTTTCTCACTTTAATTAACTGCAATTTAAATGATGCTAAAAACCCCGAAATGTCAATATTTAAAGAGTTATGGCCATTTTAAAGTAGGCTATTTTCTCACTTTAATTAACTGCAATTTAAATGATGCTAAAAACCCCGAAATGTCAATATTTAAGGAGTTATGGCCATTTTAAAGTAGGCTATTTTCTCACTTTAATTAACTGCAATTTAAATGATGCTAAAAAAACCTGGAAATAACAATTTTTAAGGAGTTATGGCCATTTTAAAAAAGGCTATTCTCTCACTTTAAATAACTGCAATCAAAGCGATGCTAAAAAACCCCGGAATGTCGATATTTAAGGAGTTATGGCCATTTAAAAAAAGGCTATTTTCTCACTTTAAATAACTGCAACCAAAACGATGCTAAAAACCCCGAAATGTCAATATTTAAAGAGTTATGGCCATTTTAAAAAAGGCTATTTTCTCACTTTAAATAACTGCAATTTAAATGATGCAAAAAAACCCCGAAATAACAATATTTAAGGAGTTATGGCCATTTTAAAAAAGCCTATTTTCTCACTTTAAATAACTGCAATCAAAACGATGCTAAAAACCCCGAAATGTCAATATTTAAGGAGTTATGGCCATTTAAAAAAAGGCTATTTTCTCACTTTAAATAACTGCAACCAAAACGATGCTAAAACCCCGAAATGTCAATATTTAAGGAGTTATGGCCATTTTAAAAAAGGCTATTTTCTCACTTTAAATAACTGCAACCAAAACGATGCTAAAAACCCCGAAATGTCAATATTTAAAGAGTTATGGCCATTTTAAAAAAGGCTATTTTCTCACTTTAAATAACTGCAATTTAAATGATGCTAAAAAACCCCGAAATAACAATATTTAAGGAGTTATGGCCATTTTAAAAGAGGCTATTTTCTCACTTTAAATAACTGCAATCAAAACGATGCTAAAAACCCCGAAATGTCAATATTTAAGGAGTTATGGCCATTTTAAAAAAGGCTATTTTCTCACTTTAATTAACTGCAATCAAAACGATGCTAAAAACCCCGAAATGTCAATATTTAAGGAGTTATGGCCAATTTAAAAGAGGCTATTTTCTCACTTTAAATAACTGCAATCAAAACGATGCTAAAAACCCCGAAATGTAAATATTTAAGGAGTTATGGCCATTTTAAAAAAGGCTATTTTCTCACTTTAATTAACTGCAATCAAAACGATGCTAAAAACCCCGAAATGTCAATATTTAAGGAGTTATGGCCAATTTAAAAGAGGCTATTTTCTCACTTTAAATAACTGCAATCAAAACGATGCTAAAAACCCCGAAATGTAAATATTTAAGGAGTTATGGCCATTTTAAAAAAGGCTATTTTCTCACTTTAATTAACTGCAATCAAAACGATGCTAAAAACCCCGAAATGTCAATATTTAAGGAGTTATGGCCATTTTAAAAGAGGCTATTTTCTCACTATAAATAACTGCAATCAAAACGATGATAAAAACCCCGAAATGTCAATATTTAAGGAGTTATGGCCATTTTAAAAAAGGCTATTTTCTCACTTTAAATAACTGCAATCAAAACGATGCTAAAAACCCCGAAATGTCAATATTTAAGGAGTTATGGCCATTTTAAAAGAGGCTATTTTCTCACTTTAAATAACTGCAATCAAAACGATGCTAAAAACTCCGAAATGTCAATATTTAAGGAGTTATGGCCATTTTAAAAAAGACTATTATCTCACTTTAAATAACTGCAATTTAAATGATGCTAAAAACCCCGAAATGTCAATATTTAAGGAGTTATGGCCATTTTAAAAAACGCTATTTTCTCACTTTAAATAATTGCTATTTTAAATGATGCTAAAAACCCCGAAATGTCAATATTTAAGGAGTTATTACCATTTTAAAAAGCTGACCAAACAGGGTACTAGTTTAAATAATCTAAAGTTCGAAGTAAAGGTACTGTAGTTTTTTTCAATTTGGCAAATGTAGATATCATAAATTATCAAAAACAAATACGCTTTTGTCAAGATAATGTAACGGCCTTTCTCTTTGCTAACATATTAAGTGTTAACACCAGTAAAAGGTTGGCAACACTAAGTTAATTAGTTGCATACGAACCTATAAAACCCTACGCTAGATAAAAACTTTGCCGCTGCTGATTCTAACTAGGAAATGTGCACACTTCATTTGGAAAAGTTTTTTATCTTTATAAATTAATTACTTTCTGAGAATATTCCAATATTTCAATTCAGTTTTCCATGATCAACTATTAACACGTCTACTGTGTAGACACTGCGCTGACTTTTAGCCGCCCATCTGCAACAGAGGTGAGTAGCCGCAGTCAAATCGTTTATCCAGCTTTGTGGTCTGCATACGTTTGCGAAGATAAAATAGCGTGTACATTTAGGACCAAAATAAAGAAGAATACATTTGCAACGAAAGTCTTCTACAAAAATCTTAGAGAAAATGTGTGAAGTTGAAGCTGTTAACAAAATTGCCAAATGCCTACAAGTTCCCACTGGCAAAATCCAATTAAATAATGAACAGGTAGGTGTAACATTTCAGCTAAATTAAATTTACCTTGACCTTTCTTTACCCAATTTCATGTGATGATGTCTATTTTTGCCAACCCCCCGAAGGTCGTGACACGCATACTCAACAATAAATCTGTCTCTGGATTTGCCACAATTCTAAATTCCTTGGTAAAGGAATCTAATTCGGATATAGCCAAAAATAGTACCGCTTCCCGGGAAATTGAAGTTCAAGTCTACCAATGGATTGAATATGCCGTCCTATACGTTGCACCTGGTTCTAAAGACAGACACTGTTCACTGCAAATGTTGAGGGATTTCAACAAATTGTTCTTGAGTAAATCCTATTTGGTTGGCTATTCGCTAACGCTGGCGGATTTGGCTGTATTCTATGCCATTCATGATTTGATGGTAAGTGTGAAGGAGAATGCGATTTCATACCATACCTGAAATAAAGGGTATATAGAACAAAAGTAATTATGTTTTTGCAAGTTAGGTGCGGTTTTAATTTGAGAACGTGAAAAAGGAGGTGTGTGCTTAAACTAAAACGGGATTTCTTTATTTACATTGTTGGGAGATATATCACATGATGTTCTCCTTTCTAGGTGGTGTAGTTCTTAAATTAACGTAAATCCTACTGAAGGAAATGACGTAAGCGTAAACTGTCCAAAATCCTTGGTTTGTCATTGAATAAATATTTTAATCTTACTCATACAGATTGCTTTTAGCATAAATATTTTCTAGTGATCAGTCCATTCTCAATAGTATATTTCTTGAAGACGTTTAAAAGTGGAATCATAAATTCATGACTCAAATTTCTGACATTACATTTTGAAAGTTAGTTATCCATAGTTACCATAGACGCCCTTCGTTACCAGCTCTGTTTTTCATATCGAGAAAATTTGTTACGGAATATTATATATTTTCCGCAAATTGCTTAGATCGTCTCAAATTTCTTATATAATATACACCAAAACCTTAAACGCTTCCTATTACAAAAAAATTATGTATAGCCTTATTAGTTATAAGTTAGTTAATAATCGCAAAATGTAATCAAATCAGTTTACATTTATTCACAGAGTCGATACATAATTCACCCACTTGAAATGTAAGCTACATGAGCGAAGATTAACATATAGCCATGAACATTGAACGTTAAATTAGTTTAAGTTGGTTTCAACTCAGATATTGTTCCTGTAAATTATAAAGTTTCGTCCAATTCGGATTTAAGACATTTCAAACATTTATGTTCATTTTTTGTTAGAATTTGCAAAATAAATTTTATTCTAATTAATTATATTAATTTCCCTTTATTCCCCTCTATCTTTGCAGAAATCTTTAACCCCCATCGACAGAGAACACTATTTGAACCTCTCCCGCTGGTTCGATCACTTACAACAAATTCCCGAAATTCGTCAAGAAGCTGAGCTTTTGAATTTCACCACAATCTACTTGCATGGCTGGGCAACGGGCACACATGTTTAATGAACTGACTATTTGTATTTTCTTTGCCATCAATTGAACTGTATCTTATTATTTTCATTTATTTATATTTCTTAACTTCTTGAAAGAAAGCTTTTAAAATTATCGTTAATTTAATATTAGAAAATGAAAAGTTTATTTTGTTTTAGGAGTTTCATTGAATGATGAGAAAAGGTAAGAACGAATTTCTAAGAGGATTAAAAAAAGAAAAATGAAGGCAAATGGGAAGGATATGCACAAATAATATATGAAATCGAATCTTTCAACAAATGAGTATATCGTCTATCATTCCTGACTTATTGGGAACAATATTGGTGAACATCTCATTATTTCGTATTGAAAATAGGTGGGAGTTGTGATTTTTTGACAAGAAACTCTCTATATTTACCGTTATAAAATCAATAATCGAAGTGACCCAGAAAAACCAAAGGCATATCCATTATCCGTGGGCAACCACAAAACGGAATTGGAACATTAGAGCAAGTCTGTATGAATTTCTATTATCCAACTCCTTGCTTAACACACCCTATTACCACGTTAATTTCTGAAGTTCCTGTAATGATTGTGAGGCTGGCCGGTAATAATATATTCTTGAATAATAATAATACCAATTATGCTACAACTTAGCATCAGAGGAGTGTAGTCCTTATGCCCGGTACCATTTTTAAAAGCAAGCCTGAGTTACATCCGTTTTAAAATACATGTATAAACCTGTAGATAATGAGCTAGAGCCCCAGAGTACCGATGCAGCACAAAGCGCATTAGAGTTAGCTAAGCCTGTTAAAAGTCTTCCAAAAAACCAGTTCTATACGTCTAATGTGTTATATGTAATATGACCCGAGCTTTTATCCTTAGAGTTATTGCAGCAACATAATTCGGCCAAACGGCTCCGGTATTCGACAATTTATGGGTTGTTTCTAATTTCCATCCAAGTAAACTTTAGTTCGTCATTTGGTGGTTTTTGCAGCTGATGTTGCTGTTGTTGTGACAACAGTATAAGTGCGGCTCGATTTCTGCTATCCCAGTTTTAGCTCCAAGTTTAAAAATTAGGCTACCTTCATAGGTTGTAGCCAAAGATCTCTCGTAGACGTTTCGCACATCTTCATCTATTCGTAACCAAAACGAATTGAGACGACTGCACCAGTCCAAACTGTCTAGGCAGCCGACGTTCTTTCGAGGCAAAGAATTGAGATTGAACTCTGAGGACATCAATCACACACACTGTAGTTGTTGATGGCATCTGTGATTGCATCAGTATGATGCTGCTCAAACCTCTCTGATATTTTATTGATTATTGATATATAGATCGTGTGGGTCCTTCCTGCACGTTTTGGTGAGGGAGTTTCATCCACCAAATGGGTTTTCTTCCACTGCGCAGTACTTGTTTTCGCAGACCACAATGGGCCGCAGAGCAGACCACAAACCGACATATCGAGTTATAAGAAGTCAACAAGGTTTCCCTGTCCGTGTCGCAGATAGTTGTGACTTGGGCGTTGTTTTAGTTCGTGGTCGGAAATTAATTTCCCTCGATCTTTATATTCAGCTGCGTTCTCATCTCATGGTCCGCAGATAAAGTTGTAAAGAGAGGGGCTGTTGACTTAGTGGCGTATATATCCTCGAGGTAATTTAATTGATCAAGCAAACCAGATCTTTTATACACCACATATCGTTTTAACGAGGAAGTTCATGGACTCCCAGTTGACATAGAATATGACTTTTTCCTAAAGTTAACATTGGCCAAAGTCTATTATTTGGGAGCATTTTATTTTCCGACTCTGTTGGCTTTGAGGCTGTTATTTGGTGGCTGCCATTTGACCCAAGTTAGGCTTTGACGTCCTGACTTTGTTTCGTGGCCTCCAGGTTTGCTTCTTCAGATAAAGGGATTGAAAAGCACACAAATCGTATGCAGTTTTTTGTATTTCAAGGTTATAATGAACCTCCCATACTTCATAAAGTTGGACGATGTTTCGATCGTAGAATCATTTGTGAAAAATCTGTTCTGCTATTTTAATTGCATCATTAAAAAAAAATGAAGTTCTTTTTTTTATTTTACTTTTCTAATATTTTAGTCAAATATTATTATGTTTTTTTATTTCCTTTTTATGTATGATTTTTTTCAAATACAAAACTTAAAATATACGAGATAGCAGAGTTTTTTTCTTTTGTTACATTTCCATTTCCTTTTCGTTCAGAAACATAGTTATTTTTTTATTTATAATTTTTTTTTTGTAGATTTTGCAATGGATGATCTGAAATTTATGAATGTGAACTTTGTAAATGGATTTCTTTTAATTTTATATAAATTACTTTACTACGTTTCCAAGAGGGAGAAAGAGAAATGGACAATGATTACAATGGAGAGAATTTATGGGCAATCTATGACATTATGTAAAATAAAATACGAGGTGAAGTTTTAAGAAAAACAAACGACAATGAATACAATTAATTTGCTTGTACTTCGCGAGGGGAATTTAGAGAATTGTTCAGCTCATTGGGTTCGGTACATTTCCAAAGGCCATAGGTTTTGCCCACTGTTGTCTGCCACAAACGGAGAGTACCATCCTCGGAACCACTGGCATACAACTCACCATCGGGACTAAATTTGACCGAATGCACGGGACCAAAGTGGCCCTTAAATGATTCTGTAAGAGGAGGCAGGAAAAAGAAGGAAATTAAAAAAACATTCAAATGCCGATTGATGATTTTTGGACTTACCAATTTCATTGCCCGTTATGTAATCAAATTTGTACATTTTGAAATCCTCACCACCACAAACAAACACATGCTTGTCCGGATGCAAACTGGCCGATGAAACATTTGTTGGCACTTTAACCTCTTTCAGCTTCTTCAACGACTCTACATCCCAAAAACTAATACTGGTGCCATGGGCCACGGTCAGAATGTGATTATCAGCCGATATCTCCAAACTATTGGGATTATTGGGGAATGTTAGACGCTGTACCTCATTGCCACTCAAACGATCCCACAGTCGTACAGTTTTATCCTCGGCCGCCGATATAATGCATTTATCGTTGCGACAGAATAGAGCCTGTTTTATGGCACCACCATGACCGCTATACATTTCTGGTTCCGCCTGTGGCTGTTCCAAATTGAAAACACGCACCAGCTTCTCATTGCTGCCGGTGACAATGTTCTCCGAACTGCTGTCAAAGCCCACCGACTTGACAATGTGTTTGTGTTGGAAACTATGAATTTCGGTGCCGGTTATGGCATTCCATACTTTTCCGGTAAAATCGGCAGCACCGGTGGCCGCCAATGTGGCGGTTTTGTTAAGAGCTACACCCCAGACGGCTCCCTTGTGACCCTCAAAAGTGCCAACCCAATCGCCAGTGTCGCCCTGTCGTAACATGGGACTGCCATCTGAAAGGAAAAAAAGCAAAACAACCAACCATTAAAATAAAGTTCACACAAACACACACTCACACGCACCCATTAAAGATTTATACTAAAGTAAAAGCGAATGCAAAAGCGTTTTAATGTCATTTGTTTGTATGCCTGTGCGTTCACGTTTTTTGTTGTAGTTTTTTTTTGCATTTTGTTACGTTCAATCATAGTTGGTGTATTTCACGGAAATAACCTTGACTCAATGACTTGCATCAATGCCAACGACCTGATTACCCGCCACTTCCACTTATTTGTTCTCCTTCTTCCATCCTCTATCTCTACTAAATGACTTGCAGGCAGGCGAACTGGCTGGCTGGCTGGGCCTGCACAATGCAATGTGCATTAACCAGCCAGCCAATCGAACAACCGATCCAATCGAGCTAAACAGATTGTTGGTGACAACAACAGCAACAATCTCGAACATTGACTGCATTCAACGACAAACATTTTCGAAAGCAAACAAAATAGCAGCAACAACAAAAACTGGGCACAGAGAACTGCAAACAAATTGCATTGTCGCACAGTTGTTGTTGGTGTGTAGATGCGAGGGTTGAGAATTGTTTGGTAAACCTTAAACATTTATACCGGGGTTTATTAAGATTGACACTTTGTAGATGACACACATTTGGCAGTATCTTTTAAAAATTGTTTAATAATAAAGAACTTTTTCTTTTTCAAAGATACCTAATGACTTGGAGACCATCCAACTTTCATCCTAAAGGGCCCATAATAAATTGACGGGTTTAATGGAAGGCTTTAGGTAAAAATTTGAGGCTATCTAAGCCAACTAGCTTGCTGCATCTGTTCTTACCAATGAAAAAGTACTTCTTAGGCGGTTTTAAGTATACAATCTTGGGATATTTTAATTCAGTTTTATACACCGAGAAGTGTTTCTCGACTCAGATGTTCACAGCTCGTACGACTGTGACATAACATATTAATAAAATAATAAGTCGATTGAAAGATATTGGCCATGACACACACATTTTAATTTTGTTTTGTATGAACCTGAAAATTTATTCTGGCCTAAATATTACAAAATGAATTCTATTTTTGCAAAGAACTTAAAAATCTGAACCACTTTTGACCACATTTGGTAAAATTACATTGACGATGTATTTGATATCTTGTAGCGAATATCATTGTTTGGAGTGCATATTGCGTCTTTGGTGACAGCGGGACAGCAACAGTTATATTTGAATCGATTTTCACAAAAATTTAACGTATTAGCTTCTAGGCCAACTGTGCCAAATCCCATCCTATTTGTGATTATATTATTAAAATTTTAGGGTTTCTGAGGATAAACTTTACATGTCATAAAATATTCAACCCGGCTGAATTTCACGTCGCTTACTAATTTTCTTTCAGGATGAGTACAATGGACGTACTCAATGGACTCTCCGGACAAGTATGTCTTGTTGGATTGGCAGCTAGGTATTTTAATTAAAAGCTTTCCAGCTGCGAACACTTGAAATGCTAAATTAATGACAATAAAACAAGAAAAAAGCTGCGATTTCGGCCGGGCCGAACTTTTGAATATCCTCCACCATTTGGAACGAGTTTGGCAAAATTCTGTTAAAATCTTAAAAAAAATACTTTCGTAGCTGTTATATCAGGGTCCAAACGACGACGTGGATCTGAATAGGCAACTTTTGTCATAAGCCATTACAATATTCAAATGCGAAATTTGAAAAAAAAAAAAACGGTGAAAAATGCTACATTATTCCATCATCATATGGGGGCTTTACCAAAACGTGGACCTGCACAGACAATTTTCTGTCGTAGGCTGTAGTATCCATTACGAACTTCAAATACCAAATTTGATACATTTCCGGTGAATAATGTCGCTAAATCATTAAAATACCGAAAATAGGGAGGTACCGTTATATGGGGGCTATACGAAGACGTGGACCTGCACAGACAATTTTCGGTCTTAGGCTGTAGTATCCATTACGAACTTCAAATATCAAATTTGAAACAATTCCAGTGAATAATGTCGCTGAAATCATAAAAATATCGAATATCGGTACCGTTATATGGGGGCTATTCGAAGCCATGGACCTGCATACGCAATTTTCTGTCATAGGCTGTAATATTCATTACGAACTTCAAATACCAAATTTCAAATAATTCCCGTGAATAATTTCGCTTAAATCATCGAAATACCAAAAATAGGTAGGTACCATTATATTGGAGCTATGCCAAAACGTGGACATACAATGGCCATTTTCAATACCAAAAGTCCTGCAGATATAATATACATTTGAGTAAAATTGTATCAACCTATTTCATTTACAAACGGAATGACAAACTTAATATACCCTCCATACTATGGTGAAGGGTAAAAAAAACGGTGTAAAACTATTTCCTGTTATACCCCCCACCATAGTATGGAGGGTATATTAAGTTTGTCATTCCGTTTGTAACACCTCGAAATATAAATTTTAAGCCCCAAAAGATCAGCATAAAATTCTATGTCGATTTATCGATGTCCGGCCGTCTATCCGTCTTTGGAAATCACTCTAACTTCCGAACGAAATGAAGTAGGTTGATAAAATTTTGCTCAAATGTATTATGTTTCAGGTCTTTTGGTATTGCAAATAGGTGACGTAGGTCCGCGCTTTGGTATAGCCCCCATATAATGGTACCTCCCTTTTTTCGGTATTTCGGTGATTTAAGCGACGTCTTCGTATAGCCCCCATACAACGGTACCTCAAAATATTCTGTATTTTGATGATTTTAGCGACATTATTCACCGGAATTGTTTTAAATTTAGTATTTGAAGTTCGTAACGGATGCTATGACAGAAAATTGTCTGTGCAAGTCAACGTCTTTATTTTTAAGATTTTAACAAAATTTTTACGGGTTTTTTTTGTTTTTGAAATTGCCAAAATCGTTCCAAATGGTGGAGGGTATTCAAAGATCGACCCGGTCGAACTTACAGCGTTTTTACTTGTTTCAGTTTATGGGGGATTAGAACAGTGTTGCTCCGAATTCGGCTTGAGATCATGCAATTTTTTGCAGAGTAGTTTGAAAACCTTTAAAAATTCACTATGCCAAATAAATTTTTCTATTTAGCAACCCTCGTATGAAAAAGTTTACTAGTCCGAAACGTAAAGTTTGTTTCAATAATATATTTATTCAAATCACTGCATTTTCTATCGATACAGAAACAACGCACTTGCACATACATTTGTGAAAACGTGATCAATGACCATCATAAAATGTGTTGTTGTTTTTTCACCAACTAATCTACATATAGTGCACAAAGATACAAATAAATAAATATCTATTATTCTGAAATGCACACATAATTATTAGGCGTAATTTTTGTTGGTTTAAAAACACATTCAATAAAAATATTTGAATTTTTGAATGCAAAAGTCCATATGAAGCATCTGAAAGGTGATTCATTTGCGAAAAATCCGCATAAAACAGTTTCTTGGAGAGATATTGAAAAAGGAATGTATTTTAAGTTTACAAGATGATATATATAGAGGAGGGCAATAACGAATATTTTCGCTAAATTTTTCGGTGGGGAAAATTTTGCAAAATTATTACCTTCCAGATGGAATACATTAACACTTGCCTTTATACACTTTATATACATCTTTATTGACATTTACATTTGGGCCATTCTTTCTTTCTTTCTTTATTTAATTCATACTTAATACTAAAACCTCCAAGGCCAATTAATTCTCTGTAGGTTCAGAAATAAAAATGTTCAAAATGAAGATTGGGAGAATTTTCGTGGTGTTGTCCTTAATTAAATTTAGTCAATCTAAAATTTGTTGTTCTTGAAAACTCGTTTAATATTGCAGTTCATTTAAGTTCGATAGTTTCAAATTCTTACTCCGCCTCGAAAAAAACACTTTTCATTTATCCAAGTAATTTCTCCCAAAAAACGTTTCATTTGCCACTCCTTAAATATTTTATTATACCCTACAACACTATGTGTTGGGGTATTATAAGTTTGATTGGGCCAGAATTTATGTAACACCTCGAAATATTGGTTTCCCATATAGGAAAGTATATATGGATCTTCCTAGCTCGCCGAGCTGAGTCGATCTAGCTATGTATGTCCGTCTGTCCGTCTGTCCGTCTGTCCATGTTAATTTGTAATCACTCTACAGGTCGCAATTATGGTCCGATCTTCACGAAATTTAAAATGGAGGTGGGGTTAGGGTCAGAATAGAAGCCTATTTCTTTTGGAGATGATCGCCAAATGTTTAGGGGTTGAAATGGACCAAATACTGAAAAAATATCGGATTTTGCAGTAGCTATACAGGTCGCAATTATAGACCAATCGACGCGGAATTTCGTATGTAGCTAGAGTTTAGGGCGGGGAAGAAGCCTACCAATTAAGGTGGTCATCGGATAATATTTAGCGGGTAAAATAGACCATATATTTTGTGTTGAAAAAATCCAACATTTTTAATTAAACCGTGAATATTTTAAATCCCAACGAAATCACGAAGCCATGACAAGGTTACTTCTGACCTTTACATTGATGTTAACATCCAACAAATCGGATATATAGCAAAATATGTGCGATATATATGTCTATCACAGAAGATATGCTTGAAAGATGCCTTATATGATGAGAACGGCTGAACTGATTTCCACAGTTCTCATTAATTCAGAATGGCCTCTTGGCAGGAAAGAAAAAACGTCTAAAAAATCGCACAAAAAAATTCTCTAAAAAGATGAAAATTTTGATTTTGTAACATTTTCTCATATTTTTTCAATTTTGTCATATTTTTGGCATATTTTCATTTTGAATTAAACATTTGGTAATATTTCTACAGCTAACAAAACTAAGTAGTTAGGATATCAGGATATCATATACAGATCGCATTTAGGGCGGGTATAAGATGAGGGTCAGAATAGAAGCCTACTCTTTTTGGAGATTATCGCAATATATTTAGGGGTTGAAATGGACCAAAAACTGCAAAATTGTCAGCAGGTCGTAATTA